AGCAACGGTTTCCCTCTTCGCTGGGCAGGAGTCTCAGCTGGCGCTGTGGGAGCACTACCCCGGCGCCCCGTGGGACTGGGCTGAGAGCGGGCAGAGCAGTAGCTGCTTCGAAGTCAACAGGTCTCAGCCATTCCCACCCCCCACCCTCCCCGCTTTCTAGTCCTCCTAGTCTGTTCCCCAGCCCCACACCCACATCTTGCCCGACTTCTCCGTCTCTCCCTCCCCCCACACCAGCATCCAGGCAGACCCCGAGGCCTGGCCGAGGCCCTTTTCTGACCCTTCCCTCCCGAGGTCCCTCAGCCTGCTGCTTCTTCTCCAGTCCCTCTCCCCACCGGGCCCTCTGTGCCCCCCTCCACTCCTGGGGCAGAGAGCACCTGCCCAAAGCCCTGGTCCCCCCATCAGCCCCACTGCACGCTTCCCTGGGACCCCACTCTCTGCCTGCCGCCAGGGCTGGTCTGCCTGGGGGTGGGCCCCTTCCTGTCCCCTGGAGGCCCCCCACCTGCTCTGCTCCCTTGCGGGCAGCCCCTCCTCGCATCCATCGTGCACTGGGCTGGGCGGGGAGCAGCCCTGGGCCTGCCTGTGGAATGACACGGTGTCCTTCCGCCTTTCCTCTGAAAGGGAGGCGGCTGGAAGGCAGGAAGCCTACAGCGACTTCAGTCGGGGTCATGGGGAGCCAGAGCCACCCCAAAGCTCTCCCTGTTTCCTGGGCCACTGCAACCAGGGAGGGCTGACCTCCCACCCTGCCATCCCAGGACACAAACACAGGGGCGGACGCCGGGCTATTTCTGATTCACACACGGCGTCGGCAGGGGCCGCCTCTCTGTGTTGGGTGCATATGTTCTACTGAGGAAGTCTGGAGGTAATTTTAGAGGACCATGAGCTCCCGTAAACTAAGGCTTAGGAGGGGCTCCCTTCCTTGTTCACTCCCGCCAGTCCCCCTCAGATATTCTTGAGCATCAGCTCTGCGTCAGGACCTTGCCGGCAACTCTTCACGCACTGACTGTGGGAACTGGAGCTTTGCAGACAGGGGTGCCCGCTGAGCAGGCGTGCGGCCACTCTGACCCAGACGACAGCAGGGATGGAGTGCTCCCTCCGGCAGAGGCGGCAGAGGCTGCGCTGGGCCCCAGGAGCCCTGAGAAGGGACGGTTGTTCTGGCTCGTCAGGGCCGGCAGCCCTCTGGCTTGCATGTGGACACTGGGAGCGGGAGTGCCCAGGGGCCGGCTGGTATGGAGCCAGGAGGCCTCCCTGCCCAGCCCTCCCTCCCACCAGCAAGGCCTGAGTCGGCCTCACGCGGGCATACGGCAGCCTCATCCCCAGGTCTCCTCTTCCTCCCGTGGAATGTCCCCTGTCACCTGACCCCAGTATCTGGAGGCCGAGGGCAAGACACCCTCCTCGCGGCCCTCCCCCGGTGCCGGGCTCCCAGCCACCCCACCCCTGTGGCTGCCCTACCAGCTCTTCCTTCCCCCCTGCGCAGGAGGCCGCCCCTACACCTGTCACGGTGACGCACTCACACCTTGGTGACATCGCTTTTCCAATTAAACCCTCGAAGGTGAAAAGCAGGGATGACGAGAGCAGCCTGAGCCCTGTGCCCGCAGGCAGGTGTGGGTGCATCAGCCTGCCCCCCTGGGACCCTCACACTCAGTGGCTCCAAATGAAGTCACTGGCTCCCCGGCCCAGAGACCTGTATCTGCTCCTGTCTCCTTCTTTCTCCCCTTCCTCTTCCCCCCTCCTCTTTTTCCTCCCTCTCTCTTTTTCCTTCTTCCCTCCCTCCTTCCCTCTTCCCTCCCTCCCTCCCTCCCTCCCTTCCTTCCTTCTTTCCTTCCTTCCTTCCTCCCTTCTTCCTTCCTTCCTTCCTCCCTTCCTTCCTTCCTCCCTTCCTTCCTTTCTTCCACCCTTCCTTACTCTCTAGGCGGGGCTCTCTTGGGGCCAGCACATGCATGGTAATGAGGACAAGGGTTAGCACTCTATAGGGCCAACTAGAGGCCAGGCCCTGCTCTAAGACTTCACAGGCATTGTGTAAGTTCCTCCATATGATAACTACATGGGTTGGTTCAATTGTTTCCCTCATTTCACAGATGGGACAGCTAGGACCAGAGAGCTGGGAATTTGCTTGCAGTTGCACAAGCTAGGCAGTGGTCGAGCGGGGTTACGACCAGGCAATCCGGCTCCAGAGCTGCGCTCTGAACCATGACACGCTGCACCGTGTCACACGTGCAGCCACATCAGCCTCCGACAGGGGAGTGTCGTGACTCCTTCCCCCGCACCGATGCCACCTCTGTAGTATTTCGTGAACCGGCCTCTGCCTCATCTTCCCCTCACCGCTCCCACTCTGGCTGGCCGGGCCCCCAGGCCCTGCAGCAGGGCACGGGGCTTCTGGGCGTCCCTTGCTGCCTCCAGGCTGCCTCCCCTCTGGTCGCCCGCCTCACTGCCACAGAAATCTGGTCCTATTGCTCCTCTGACTCATCCCCAAACGATCTCCCACCTTCTCCCCGGTTGTCTCGGACTGTTTCCGGTCTCTCTCTCTCTCCCTCTTCCACATGCTCACGTGAGCATATGCAGTTTCTGCTGCTTTGAGCCCTTCGCACATGCTGTTCCCTCTGCTTGGAATGCCTTTCCTCTCCTCATCCTGGTGACCTGTTGTATCAGGGTTCAGCCCAATGCAGCATCCCTTTCTCTGGGAAGCTCTTGCTGGCCACCCGCCCCCTCTACCTGACTGGGTAAATCACCTCTATGTGCAGGCTTGGGAGACCCGAGCCCGTGTGTAAGTGCAGCCCCTCCAAAGCTGCCGTACTGCAAACACCACCCGGAAGGCTACGCAGAGGCAGAGACAGGTGTCTGAGGAGCCCCAGCTCCTCTTGCCCCCCACTGTTTGAGTCTGCCCAGTCCAGGGGCCGGTCACGGGAGTGACCAGCTTGAGGTTACTGTACACCCCAGGCTGTGAACTGGCCGGGCTGGGCAGGGTTGTGCCGGCTCCGCCAAGCCCTTAGCCGTACTGCAGATTCACGATAAAAATAAATGTTGTTTCGAAGCACTCAATTTTGGGTGTGATTTGTGACACAGCAGTAGAGAACCATTTTGTCTTTATTTCTATCTCCATCACTGTCTATAGTTACATCTATTATATCATCACACTTCCCCCACCTAACAACATAGAGTGGTCATTTCTTTTTGTCTAGAAATTAATATCTGCATTATTATTTTGAATGGCTGCAGTGTTTCATTGTATAGCTTTACCATAACATTTATTATACCTTACTATAAATGTTCGATTTAATTTCAGTTTATTGCTACCATCAGTAATGTATGAACAGTCTTGAAGCAGCGTTTAGTATAACTGCTAGGCAACTTCCTCAGGATAATGCCCCGGAAATCCCGGGGTTGCAAGGTGAAGGCCGTGGTACAGACAGAAGTCCATCACACTGCCACGGCTTGTCCAGGGGTCTGCGTCTGCCCCATCTCCTCCCCCCTCACCACCGGTGCAGGAGAGGAAGCCCCTCCACTGTTTGCAGGCCAGGCTTTTCCTCCAGATCTGCTTCTGCTTCAGGCTCGGATTATTGGGGTGTCCCCACTCCCACCTGCCACATCAGCTTCCCCCTCTCTGTGACTCCCCACGGCATGCAACCACACGCTAGCACCTTCGGCCGTCTTTACCTCTGACCCTCTGTCACCCTCCGCCACTGCCCCACACTGCCCATCAGATTTCCAGGAAGAGTTGTTCTTATGCCAGGACTAAAGGAATAAGTAAACAAACCCACAAGAATGATGGGGAGATTTTAAAAACATTCTTCAATCAGTAATTGATGGGATAAGATGACACATAATTACAAAAGATACAGGTATGGGAAGGATGTGGAACATTGGAGCACGCACAGGGTGCACATGCTTCTGAGGTGCACAGGAAACGCTCGTCAAAGTGGACCACACGTCCGTCCGTCCGTCCGTTAAGCAGCCCCCTGCCCTCGGTTTCGAAGGACTGACACCAGATAGAGCGTGTTTTCTGACCACAGGAGACTTAGGCTAAACATTAGCTTCAAAATATAACCAGAAAGTCCCTTGTGTTTGGGAGTGAGACAGAACACATCCCAGGGACCCCCGGGGCTCCGGTGGAGTTTCTCCCGCTGCAGGACACGTGCTGTCTTCCCCTCCCTGACCTGACACGGGGACTAGGGCCACGCCGGAGCTCCGAGGCCAGGCGTGGAGAGCGCCGAGTGTCCCCGGACCACGCTGCCAGCTCACAGCGTGGGGAGGCCTCAGAGGCCACAAGGAAAACACTTCAGCTGCTCTTCAAAGAGCACCCCTCCCATTTATTAACAGTCTAAGGTTAGCAGCACCTTCTCCTTGGGGTTTGGGGTACAGGAGGGGCCTGCCCTGGACTCGTGCAACTGCCCTTTCACGACTCAAGAAGGCAACCTGTGCTGGACCTCAGGTGAGTGACTCCTGACCTTCTCTGTTACCGTCCACTCCCCAACCCCTGGAACAAGGGGTTGTGGTTCCTGGTGAGGTCAGTTCCCAAATGCTGGGGAAATGCCAGATATTCCTGACGTCCCCTCATAGCGGTGACATTTACCTGCAAACGCGAACAGGCAGATGCCAGTGGAAGCATGCACACAAGCAACGTCACCCACTCCCCCATGCCCTCAGCAGGCGCGCCCCACACCGGGGCGCTAAGCCGCCTGCTCATCCCAGCTGGAGACCCAACACCGTCCTTAATTAAGTTCTTTCCTGACAGCCGCCAGGTGCGTCCTTCTGCGGGACAGTGCTAATTCCAGCCCCCGGGGGCAGAGATGCAGCCCCCTTTGCGGGCAAGTCTGCCCGTGCGCTCAGCCTCTACCTGGTAACCCCCCTCCCGCGCCCCATGCCCCCCCTCCCAAGGACGGGGGAGTTGCTCGTTACGCGGCCCTGCCGGGAAGTTCGCATCCAGCGCCCACTCCGGCGAAGCCCGTATAAAAGGACCGAGGAGAGCGGCCGGGACTAGGCAGGGAGGAGAGAGGACGGAAGGAAAGTGACCCCTCGAGAGCGGCCGCGGATCATCCTCGCTCCGGTGCAGCGGGAGTCGCCCAGAGGCAGTGTCTCCGCGACGGGTAAGTGCGCAGCGGCGCGGAACTCACCCGAACCCGCGACCGCCCTGACCCGGACCTCGGGACGCCTTGGCCCTCGGTCCCGTGTCTTTTGACAACTTTCTGCACTGAGTGCGGCGAGGGAAGCCGCGGGCAGCGGAGCGGCGAGGGCCAGCCTGGGGCGGCAGGAGAGCGGCTGCGACAAGGAGACCAGGAGCCGTGCCCTCCGGAGCTGGCGGCCGCGTGTCCCCCGAGAGGTGGGGCCGCGAGGACCCCCGAGACTCCCACCGCCTACTGGGGAGAGGCCGGGACAGGCGGGTCCTAAGCGACCTGTTTCTCCTGATTTTCTGGGTAGATGTCACGTACCAGGTACCGTACGCTGTAGCGCAAATTAACTTTGGAAACTGGGGTAGGAGAGAAGAGGCTAAAAGTCACAACAAAGTCCTTGCATTTCGGACTTTTTGGATTCAGACCCCCGAATCCTCATTGCTCCGCCCGCCTTAGCGCGCCCGACCGGGCTGCGCCGAGATAACGCCTTGGTCTCCTCTAGGAGGCCCAGCGGGGTTGAAAAGGGGTAGCCGGGGCAGGAACTGTCCGAGGTGCTGAACCGCCCTGCCGCTGCCCTCCGCGGAGAGGACCCTCTGTCCGCAGACCCTAGATTGCAGGGCGCCAGCAGCCTGGGAGCTGGCCGAGGCGCAGGCGAGGGCGGTTCCCAGTGCAGGAGGGAGAGCCTGCGGGGCATTTGGGGGAGCCCGATTCCCCGTGTCTAATGGGGGAGGTGGTGGTTCTCACAGAACGGCAGAAGGAACCGAGGAAAGTAGAAGTGTGTATTCGTTCTGTCAATTGTTAAGATATGTTCCGATTAGGGCTTATTTAATGGCTTCATTCATCCTTTGACGCTTCTGTGTTAGGACTTCGCGCATGTGTGTCTTGGTGCAAGGACACAGCTCTGCACCTCTGCTCCGCTGGTCTTTGTACAAGGGCACGGCCAGGGTGCGATTTTGGAGAAACACAAAATGCCCTGTTTGGCTCGCAGAGAATTCACCTACACGTACGAAGTTCTAGGAAGTGTAGTTCTATTATAAAGTTCGTGTCAAGAGGACCAAAAGACAGACTTCTATGTATTTTTCCAAGGCTTTCCAAACACTCCCTATTTACAAAAAGCACTATATTTGACATGTCCTCATTGCTATATTGCTTAAAAAAAAGAGAGAATGGCTCAAGGCAATATTTATTCACTGTGGAAAAATAAAGACTACACACAAGCAAACAGAAGACAAGGTGCTTCCGGGAAGCAACCTAACTCTGGAGCAGCAGCCTGGAGCTCTGAGGGGGCGTGGGTGAGACAGAGCCCGGGTGGGCCACGCCGCCAGTGGGGCAGAAGGTGAGGCCTGAGATCGGGAGGTAGGTTTTGGGAAACTGGAAATCACTCCAGAATGGCCAGTTCTGAGGAGACTTGAAATCCAGTTGAGGAAACTGTCCAACCCGTATGATCTTACTTCTTTCTCTACTGACATGTTATTCTACACTTGCCGCAGTGAGACACGGTTGCCCTTTTTCTGCTTCCAGTGTAAACCTGGGCGTCTTTCTGACCCGAGTGCGCTGTGTGGTCTCAGAGCCCTGGTGTGAATCGTCTTGTCCACCAAGTTCAGGCTTCACACGTGGACCGGAGCATCAAAAGGCCACAACGGGAGCAGCCTGCCCCTGGTCACCGGGCATCAGGTTGACAGATGCTCTGTCCCGGTCGCCTGGGACGCTAATGGGCCGGCTCACTGGCTGTCAGCGCCACCTAATGGCTGCTCTGAAAACATTCAGGCACGACCTGGCCGCCATTCGGAAGGGAGTCCTGAACTGCTTCAGCTTTGGGGGGAGTCGGCTCAGCTTTGGGCGGGGCGGAGAGAAGGAAGCGGCTTCCTGCAGTGGACAATTGAGGGCCGGAGAGAACTTTCACTTCCAAAGCCTCTCCTGTGAAAAACATTTGGCCCCCCCACCCCCAAATAGGAGGCTTCTTTCAGGCAAACGTTTCAAAATGCAAATGTCCATTAGGAGAGACAATTGTTCATCCTCACCTTTAATGGGAATCACTCGTCTCAACTAATTAGGTTTCTTCCTAACAGCTGGTGGAGAAGATCTTGGAAAACACAAAGTGGTGGTGGGGTTGGCGACGAGCTGGTGGCAGGACGTGGGGCCACCGTGGGGAAAGAGGGACTTGGCAGCACGGGGAGCTAGAGAGCTGGGGGCAGCCTGGGGCAGAGGCAGCCTCATGCAGCCTGACCTCTTGACCTCGGCACCTGCAGCGAGGTGCTTGAAAGTATCTTTGGTAGGTGTTCACTGTGGGAGGTCAGTCCCTTCCACTGTGTGTCTGTCTTTCCCTTCTACACCTGCAGAATCAGAGAGCCCGGGGTCTGACACGTAACGTTTTCAGAAGATGACTTGTTTTTAAAAGCATGGGGGGTCGCTTTTAAAAATAAATCTCTCCAAAGTCACAGGGGTCTGGAGACAGTGATCACCGGAGTCATCAGTGGACAGGGCAGCAAATCGGGTTGGCTGAGGTTTTGGCTAAATTGGCCAGAGGTGTCATTGGCCTTTATACAAACCTCCACTATTCACAGCAAATAGAGCTTCTGAGGAATGGTAGGGTCTCAGTGGGGGAGAGGGGGAGGAGACCCTCTGGGTCAGGAGTTTTGGATCTGGAGTGTTAGAACTACAGATTCATGAAGGTGGTGAAATAGGAAAGGTCTGTGCTAGAAAGAGAAGAAGTTATTGTCCCTCCCTGGGCCTCAGTTTCCCCATCTCTCAAATAAGAGGCTGAACCAAATGACTCCTAAAATAGCTTCCAGTCCTAATGTTCTTTGGGGCCTGATTCTTAACAGGAGATAAAGGGGAAATCGCACGTGGCCGCCTGGGTCCTATTCCCCTCCTCTCTAGCACAACTCGCACCGCCTCCCTGCACACCAGGCTTCTTGAACTGCTCCTGTCCTCAAAAAGCCTTGTGCTCCATGGGGGATCGTGTGGTTGATGTTGGCTCCCGGTCCTTCCTGGTGAGTGGCCAGCATTGTTCTGCTCCTTGCAGGGGTCCCACCAATCTTGTTTGCCTCTGCAGAGCCCCAGCCTGCCTGGAAGATGCCTCGATCGTGCTGCAGCCACTTGGGGGCCCTCCTGTTTGCCTTGTTGCTTCAGGCCTCCATGGAAGCGCATGGCTTGTGTCTGGAGAGCAGCCACTGTCAGGACCTCACCGAGGAGAGCAACCTGCTGGTACGTGGGCCACAGCCATCGTCCTGGTGTGGGCATCGGATGGAACTGGGGCTGGGGCTGGGGCTGGGGCCAGGGCCGGAACAGCGCACGAGGAAGTGCTATGGTGAGGGAAAGTTCATTCCCAGAGACGTGGGTAAGCCCGGGTCAGGAATGGACCCCCAAGGCGAAGTCAGCGTGGGCCCGAGGAGGGGAAAAAACAGCGATTTAGAGATAGTGCCATAAAAATAATCCTCATACTAAAAATAGTAGTAACAATAATTGCTTCTCAGTTGAGCTTACATTTTCAATCTTTCAGCTCCCAAATTACTCCTTTTAAAGTAACCTCATATCATGTGCCATTTCAGTCCACGTTTCTTCCCTTTCTATCTACTACCAGTTACAAAGCCAGCTAGGTATTCCCGCAAATCATCTCTAGGGGGAGAAAGAAAACCCAGGTGCCATTGCCATTGTTCTCTTAATGGGGGCCAAAGGTGTCGAGCTTCTATTGGAAGATGGACCTGCAGCCTTTGCAGAAGCACGTAAAGGTCCTTTGTGCCAGGTTGGAATTCCCTCCAGGTCGCCACAGGGTGTGTGTGTGTGTGTGTGTGTGTGTGTGTGTTGGGAGGCACAAATGAGCGATGATAGCGTGTCAAGGACTAAAAGACACGCTGCTGGCACCAGTGACTGAGTTCTGCCCTGCTGCCAGCACCTGCCTGGTGAGGGTGGCATGCACGCCATTACATTCTGTGTGTTCTGTCAGTGGAGACACTGAGCTAAGGTAAGAGAGAGACGCCCTCAAAAATGCAGAGCAGGTTGCACGTGTGATAGAAAATAGAAACAAAAGCCCAGGGAATCCTGAGGGCTCTAGTTCAGGGACTCGTGATTGGGGGTGCCCACTGCACAGCCTCTCCCGTGGAGAGCTCACTAGGAAAGGGGCACTGGTCATGGTCAGAACCCCGAGGGTTCTCGTCTCAGTTCTGTCGCCAGTGCACTGTGGAACCTTGCCAAGAACCTCCTGCCTCTTTGAACCTCCTGTTCCGCATGTGCAGGGGAGAGGAGCATGAGACCGTTTTCACTTTCCTGTTAATATTCTGTAGTAATTCCCAATCGGTGCAGCATGAAATTCCCAACTTGGCAGGGAGCTGTCTGTTTACTCCTCCGCAGTCCCGAGTAACTGAAAACCCCAGGCTCCAGGCCATTTTTCTAAGCAACTGTGGACCACAGTCCACTGGTCTGGTCACAGAGACCCGGGCTCCATGACTGTGCAAGGGAAGTAATCCTGGCTTTCTCCCCAGACCTCCAATCAGAATGAGGTGACGGGGAAGTGAACCACTCCCTTCCAAAGTCCACTGATTGGAGAAAGCACAGGGTTTCCGCTCAGAAGACTTGAGAGACCCAGAGAAAGTGCCAAATGGGGGTGGGAAAGTTTTGAGGCAAGGTAGGAGGCCGAGGCTGGGGTAGGGCATGAGGCAGGCCCGCAGATCACCGGAGGAAGGTTGAGGCATTATTGAAAATAAAGTCAGATTTCTACTTTTCCCACCTGGGGATGTTCTTCCCCTAATTTCAGCCGTAGGCCCCACTGAGACTCGTAGCGAACCCTATTATTTACTCAATATTTACTGAGCGCTAGCAACTGCCGCCCCCTGCCACTGACCGACCAGTTCCTATACACGAGGCGTATAAGGGTAAGATGTTGGCCCTGCTCACAAAAGCCACGGGACCGGTAAGCCACGCAGGGAACGCGGTGTGCGCTGTAGTCGTCGGGCAAACATACGAAGGCGCACAAGGGACAAAAGAGACGGTGTCCGAGCTCCGTCCCAGATGTCCGTCCGTGGGTGCCAAAGGACAGGCGGGCAGGTGACCCCGGTAGGGCGGCTGCGGCGCAGGGAGGCCCGCACGCGGCGAAGGCTGCGGGCGCGCAGGGTGCAGGCGCGGGCACGAGGTGGTGAAGGGGATGCCCGGCCGCGCGTGGGTGCGGGGCCCTCACGCGCTCTGCTCTCCCGCAGGCCTGCATACGGGCCTGCCAGCCCGACCTCTGGACGGAGACGCCTGAGATCCCCGGCGACGGTGAGGAGCAGCCCCTGCCCGAGAAGCCCCGGAAGTACGTCACGGGCCACTTCCGCCCGGACCGCGTCGGCCGCCCGGATGGCAGCGGCGGGGCGGGCGCGGGCCGGAAGCGGGAGGAGGAGGTGGCGGGGGCCGGCATCGGCGCCGTGCCAGGCCGCCGCGAGGACCGGCGCTCCTACTCCATGGAGCACTTCCGCTGGGGCAAGCCGGTGGGCAAGAAGCGGCGCCCGGTGAAGGTGTACCCCAACGGCCCCGAGGACGAGTCGGCCGAGGCCTTGCCCCACGCGTTCAAGAGGGAGATGGCTGGGGCGTGGCGCGAGCCAGAGCCGGGTCCCGAGCGCCTGGCCGAGGGCGCGGCGGCCCGGGCGGGCGTGGAGTACCGCCTGGTGGCCGAGGCCGGGGCCGAGGCGGCAGCGAAGGAGGACGGGGGGCCCTATGAGAAGGAGCACTTCCACTGGGGCAGCCCGCCCAAGGGCAAGCGCTATGGCGGCTTCATGACCTCGGAGAAGAGCCAGACGCCCCTGGTGACGCTGTTCAGAAACGCCATCGTCAAGAACGCCCATAAGAAGGGCCAGTGAGGGTGGAGCGGGGCGCGGGGCTTCTCTCCCTGAGAAGTCGACCCCGAAGCCCCCTCTCCTCCCCCGCCCCCCGCTCCTCGCTCTGGTGGTAGGAGTGGCAGATGTTCAGTCTGTTAAAGCTGCCTGTAGTTAGGATAATAAAACTTTCAAGTTGCACATCTACCTCTGACTTGGAGTGTTGACTGGGTGAATAAAAATACCTGTCCATTAAAGAGCAGCATATAGTGGAGGAGAGACATAACGGTTTCCATGTGACCAAGCATCGTCAGTATATTTCATACGACAGAGTGGGAATGGGAAGGAAATGTGCTCCCCTAACTCCTCAATAAGTGGGTCTTAAAGGGGCCAAACAGTTTAGTGCACAGGTGGCAAACACAAGGCCCCAGGCTGAATCCCGCCCTCCACCTTGTTTTAGCCACCCAGCACCTTGTTTCTACCCAGCTGCTGCACTGAGCTCCTTGCCCCTAGTTAAGGAGTAGTTACATTTATACAGTCCTAAAATTACATTTGGCCCTTTGAAGGCAACCACGAGGCTGATGTGGCCCCTGGTGAAAATGAGTTTGACACCCCTGGTTTAAGGAATGGCTCCACCCTCTGTTGGGTGGGAAAAGACCGCTCAGCTAGAAGATGCATCAAAAAACAGGATTCCTACAAGTGACCCTGGCACCTGTCCAAGAGTCAGCCTGACGGGGGTGAAGCTTAACAGGGATTGGAAGGGCGCTCGGGGCTGTAAGGTGGGAAGCGGTGCTAATGTCCCCCAGATCCAGTTATCCCTGTGACCTTAGGCAAGCCTCTGACCTTCTCCAAGATTTAGTTCTTCCCTTCCCTTCCTAGTGTGAGGGCTCTCGTGCAGATTAATTAAAAAAATGGACCTGATTAGCCTGTCGTCACTGAGAAGCTAAGTGTGAGTGCCTGGTGGTTCACGTCAGTTCCCGTTTCGCTTCCTTCCCAGATACAAACATTCTCAAACACAGGGGCTTACCCACATAGACGCACACCCGTGGAGACACGCCTGTACAAGCAGAACATGGAGGCTTCCAGTCCCATGGGCTCAAGCCTTGGGGTCTCTAGTTCCCCCCAGCTCTGCCCACGTGTTCCCCTCCCATGTCCTCAGTCTAAGACCTTCTCCTCCTCCTCAGTGCCCCTGGCTCAGACCTCCACTGCGGTAACAGCCTCCTCACCGACTGGTCTCCTTGTCTCCAGCGCTCTCCTCCCAGCCCATCTGGAACCAATCCTTTGTGGCCATGATTGCAAAATCTTGCTTTCCCCATAGTCCCTGGCTTAAGAGGTGAAAAATCACCCCACCCCAATTTGATTTTCCATCCATTCCAAACGAGAGGGCATGGCGCGCTGGGGGCCCTTATCAGTGAAGTTCACGGTCCTTACTGAACCCCACGTCTCATGTCCCCACCTGCCGAGCCGCCCTCTCTTCTCCCATCCTCCTTCACCCTTTGTCTGGGTGAACTCCCCACCTTCCCCCATCACTTGGACTGTAACCTCTTTTCCAACATGAGCCCAGGCGCAAGTCCATGTCCACCGGGAGAGTCATGATCTCTTCCAGCTGAGCCTGCTCATTTTCAGTGTTTCCGCAGTCAGCCCCTCCCTCCTCAGGGGAGCGCACGCAGTGGGGCTCTGCTGGCGGCATTCTTGCTGCGTGCGCGTGTACCGTGCTCCCCTCGGGGAAACCCTCAGGGCAGAGGCCACGGGCTGGGGTGCTTTTACACGTCCCCACGATGTTTTCACAGTGCTGGGGCCCTGGGTTTGCAGCCACACACCTTTCTGATTCACAGGAGACTCACGGGTACCCACACACACACACAGAAGTACACATACATGTCAGCTGCACCCAACATACCAGTGGGCAGTATGATCAAAGAGGCTGGGAAACACTTGTGTGCAGTGCTTACACATGTTATTTTGATGCCACAGGAGTTCACAATGAAAGGAATGCCCTGATGGAGGAGGAGTCGGTATGCCAGGTTCCTCAGATAAGGTCTCCCCCACCATAATGAGGAAGTGGCCCCACCCTCCCCGGGAGGATGCCCCCATGCTGGGAATCCTGGGCCTCATCCTCCCCCACTAAATGTCAGTGGTTAATCTTGGTATTTCCAGATCCTGTTTGCATCCCCAAAACCCATTTACTTTAAAAAAAAATCAAACAGACAAGCATGTGGTGACAACATTAACATTTATTTGAAAAGGGCATCATAAAGGCTCCTTGGGAAATCACGACTAATAGTCCTAAAGAATGATCCGGCTAAGAGTCCTTCTTCCTGCACTTGCCCGCCCCTCCCACTTCTATTTCCCTTTCCTTAAAACTAATTTGACTCAACGAGTGTAAAACACAGAAAACCGCCACAGGCACTAATTCTTCACCCCCATATAAATACGTCAGCTGTTATATACATACATTGTCAACTAGGAACTACATTGCACACACATGCACACACACGGGCACACACACTCTCAGCCAGGCCCTGAAGGTCGAGGCGCACACTGACATGTTACACTGCGTGAGCTGCAGCCTGTGTGGCGTCACGGCTCTGCACTCCGCAGGCCGGAATCAGCAGTCGTGGAGGAGGAGCTCAACAGGGGAAGGTGACGAGGCCCTAGGATCTCCTGCAGAAAAGTGCTGGTCATCCTGGCTGGTGCAGAGAGAGCACAGAGAGCTGCCCTCTGACCCCAGCAGGCCACAGAGCCCCAGCCACAGCCCTTGTGTCTTCTCCTCGCTTCCCATCTGGCCAGGTCCATGACCACCCTTCCCCACTCGGCAGATGACGCCACATTTGGGATAAAGGGCCACTTTAACCAGCAGATTTCTAAGGTTAATAGGGTGAAGAAGCAGCACACTGACCTAAACTGTCTCCCAGGGATAAGGAAGATGTTTTGTTTCAGCACAACTGCCTGCCAGGCCTGTGGGTCAGGGGAAGGGGGCGTGGCCTGCCCCGATCAGCTGACCTCCTCTTCTATCTTCACACTTCATGCTCAGCCTAACAGCTCTGGTCTGGTTCTTTCCCACGGGCCCCCAGATGACCACATGCCAGTTCATGGTCATGAAGAGGAATGGGGAGACATAGCCTCGCTTCTCAATGACACTCTTGACCCAGGTCAGAAGGACTGGGGACAGCGAAAGAGCAACTGGAAGGTATAGTGACCCAGAGGCCTGCACAGAAGCCTGGAGGTCTGGCCTTGGAGCCGTTTAAAGGAATTCTAAGGCTGTTCTAATTCTTATGCCAGCTGAAACCCGTTCTCTGGGACCCAGAACATCCAGGGCAAAGGGCAGCATGTGTGTGACCCTCAAGTCTTGACCTTCTTCAAGCACTTCGGTCAGTCCCAGCCCCACCTTTCCACGGCTCATCCATTCGCACTGGTGTATGAGCTGGAGGGCTGGACAGAGGGGAGTACCTGACGACTTTTCTAGTTCTTCTCCTGCCCTGCTTGGGTTCCTTCTCTGGAGAGGAGGCATTTAGGAGTCAAGAAATCACTTATTTCCACTTTCAGAGAGAGGAGACGGGAACAGACACAGGGCACTGGGGACCCTGCTGTGAGGCCAACGGGAGGAGCCTGCAGGAACGCACTGGCGCCTCCTGCTGACCTGCTTCTGATGCACGGGCATGACTCAACCAAATGAATGGAACTTCCAAATCTCAAATGCTTTCCTGCCTCTTAAGTTCTGCCGGCAGAGTGCCAAGCCAGCCTACCCCTTGCCTGGGAAGCAAGAGCGCTCAGGGCTCTGGGGAGCAGCTGGTCTGGATGGGCTTGCTGGCTCAAGATCACAACAGAGGAGGGTAGCACAGAGGGCCAGTCAGCCCTGGCTGGTGTAGCTCCGTGGGGTGAGCACCAGCCTGAGAACCAAGGGGTCACCGGTTCGATTCCCAGTCAGGGCACATGCCTATCTTCACAGGGTTGCAGGCCAGGTCCCCAGTGCAGGGGTGGGTGTGAAAGGCAACCACACATTGATGTCTCTCTCCCTTCCTCTCTCTCTAAAAATAAATAGAATCTTTTTCTAAAAAAGGGTCAGTCAAAGACACAGCGCTGTCTGACGCTACGGGGCCTGGAAGGCAGGAGGCAGCGGTGGATGCTGGGCGGAGGGTCTGGGCACCCAGCACACGATGCTTCGCGTCCCTTCCCAGGGCCTCTGCAGGGGCGAAAGGACGCTGGTGAAGGAGACTGCTTAATTTGCTATTTAACTGCCTGCCTGAGTTAACACACACCTTCGGCTTTCTCGTTCTGAGGCATCCTTGGCCAGAACCCAGGTCCTGCCTCCTGTTGGCAGGCAGCCTAATACTGGACTGAGTGCAGATTTAAATTGAAACTAGCAAGAGGGCACTCAAGAACAAAAACAAAAACAAAAACAAAACAAAAAAAAAACCCAGCCAGTTCTCCCAAAGAAACACTTCTTTGCTAGGCAGCTGTGACGAGATGAAAAAGCTGCTCTGGACAGAGGACAGAGACGCTGAGTGCACAAAGAAAGCGCCCCGTTCCCAGGGCGGGGCTGAGGGACAGGCACCTGAGTGGACCTGTGTGTGTCTCTGGTCCTACGGCTGGCTCTGACGAAAGAGGCCCCAGGGCCATGCTCCCCACCCCGCAGAGCCAGGGTCCCCAGGGCAGGGCGCAGGGGGCAGTGGCCATGGGGGTGGACCCTACAGTCAAGGAGGCACAAGAAAGAAACAGGGTATTCCATCAAAGCCAAGCATGGGACACGGGTGGGAGGATTTGCAAGGAAAGATGTACAGGTGGCTCAAGACGTAGATTTCCTGTGAAGTTTCTTCCCAAGGTTATTTGCCTTCAAATTCGTTCCAAGTTATTTGAAATGTGATTTCTTAATAAGGAGATATTAAAGTAAGGAGAATTCTCAGTTCATGCTTGTAAAGTTGGGTGGGGCATTAGCTAAGAGCCACAAGGGGAGCAGGAGCGGGCCCCCGGGGCCTTGAATCCTGACAGCCACACGGAAGCTGCAGGCCCAGAGCCAGAGGCAGCGGCCAAGGGGGAAAACTCAAGGAACTAGAGCCAGAAAGCCCCCTAACCCAAGAGATCACTGCCCACATAATGGGAAAGGCATATGCTAAGTTTCTCCCGACTTGAGAAAATCCACCCATCTGCCGGATCGTCAGGCCCTCACTGTGGGTCTGTGCAGAGTCCTGCAGAGGTAGACCCCCTCGCCCAGAAAGCCTGCCGCCCACTCAGCAGACAGTCCAGCCCTTCTGACCCCGCCCACACGGCCTACAACTCTACCCTAAAGGGATTCCTTTGGGTGAAGAAATTGATTCACTCTCTCTTTCTAAAAAACAAATTCCCCACAGAAGAATAACTTGGCTATTCACACCTTACTGTGAGTGGAGTTTCACAGGAAGAGAGGAATTACTGGGGGCCACAGGGTGCTGCTGGTGGTGGGGGAGCCCGGGGTGGGGGGGACCGTTGGAGACACGAAGGCCCCAGGACAGCGGAGGGGAAGCAGAGGGCACGGCAGGCAGCCTCCCGGCTCGTCCTCCTCCCCCTCCCCCAGACAGGCCCACGGGACTCAGGGGAAACTGAAAACCCAAAGCGACCTCCACTGCTGTCCCCAGGCCTGAAGCTTTGGGAGTTGGCACTAAGGTCAGACTTTGTCCAAAGAGTAAAAAGAATAAACATAAAAAATCATTCCCGTATCAGGTGCTGGATCCTTCTTTCCTCAAATGAAACATCGGAAAGGTGGACCTCTGACATCCTTGAGTCCCAAGGAGCTCCGCCCCCACGACCATCCCCTCCCCCTGCAGCCCGGCCAGGCCAGGGGCCTCTTCACTAAGGGGTGAAGTGGGCAGGCCTGGGCCTGGCTGTTCCGCCTCTTTTCCAGTCATTTAGAACCAGATTAGCTGGAGCTGCCCTCCCTCAACCCAGAGGCTGTAGAAACACGGCGGGCTCCCCAGGAAGAAAGGTAACAAGGAGAGAGCGAGCTCAACTCAGAGAAACATCCAGAAGGGGGAGAACCATGGGAGTGCCAAGCAAGCTCCCTCTGAGCAAAGGAGTCCAGAAGATGCTGCAGAGGCATCTACCCCTGCTGCCTGCTGTTCCTCCGAGGGGGTGGGGGGTGGGGTGTGAGGCAGGCCCAACCTGGGGAGAGCCCGCCCCCACCAGCAGCTGCCTGACCTTCATTCCCTCCTTTGTTACACCGCGCCCCCCCCCCACACCTGCTGTGATATCTCCACCCCAGCTCCTGTGTAAGGGCTCAGCATTAATTAATAACAGAGAGAATCACGAAAAGACAGCTGGCAGGGTGAGCAGGAGAGTGGAAGAGACACTGGGGACTTGGGGGCCTCGGAACTGGAGGGAGGGGGTGCTCTGGGGGAGACAGTCACCCCGCCCTCCAGCTCCCACAGTGGGGCTCCGACCCGACTGCAGCCCACGCTTTCTCTGAGCACTGCGTCTCCACTCGGCCCTGTCTGGGGTCAGGGAGATGGCACCTGTGCCCTTCCCACCCCCACACCACGAAAGCCTTTCACATGTCACACCACGTGGGAGCTCTCAGGACCTCACACGCCCCACAGTTACTGGCCCCGTGGCACAAAGGAGGAGACTGCAGGGCACAGGTGAGATGCTTATGGGCCCAGAGGGGCAGGTGGCCGGTCCCCTCAGGGAAGACAAGGGGCACGTGGGAGGGCCTGGGGCTCCCCCTTGCTTAGCTGGGAAGGGGCTGCCCCCGCCAAGGTGACCTTTTCTGAGACCCCAGTGAGATGTGCACGCAGTAGGGGTGGGGGTGAGGGGGAGCCGCTCCCTCAGACCCCACCCCTCCCAGGAGCTCCGTGCTGGGACTTCAGTAGACGCACAGATCCGGAAACTTCATCTCGTAGACGGGGATGGAGTGGTTCTGAGGCTGGCCGTAGGCTGCGGTGATGGTGCCGGACGGGCTCGGCGGGGGCCTGGGGCAGGGACACACGGAGGGCAAGGGCTGAGGACGGGGTCCCACCCCATGCCTTTCAAGTCCTTCTAGAACCTACAGCTTCACCGCAGGCTCTGCAGTGACACTCTTGCTTTAGAAAGTAAAGTCTCTGCCGGGGAAACAAGGACCCCTGGCTCTTTCCCCCGGTTCTCTGAGCTGCTGCTTGTCCTTCCTAGCCTCGATTTCCTTTTCTGGGGAGAGTTGGCAGGCTGATTCCAGCCCTGGAGACAGAGGCGGGAGAGAGGGAGGACTGCAGACCAGTGTGAGAGGAAGACTCAGGAGGGGGAGCCCAACGCTGGACTGTGGGGGCGGGGGGGTGGGCTGGCCAGGGCTGCCACTTACCGGATGGTGATTTCAAAGATCTGATTGAGCTTGCTCTGCAGCAGCGATGCCTAGGCACAAACAGAGGCAGGGTGAGCCGGCGCGCCCCACCCCTCTGCCGGCCTTTTCTGGCCAGCCTGTCCAGGGCGCGCACTGCGGGTCGGGGCAGTGCAGCCTCAGGATGGGGACGTCCCCGGTCTTGTCTGGGCCCCTGGCTGTGAGGTCAGGTCGGGCAGAGCCACCCAGCCAGCCCGCTGGGGACAACACGGAGGCCGGGACCACCACGAGGGCTTCAGGAGGCAGTTCTTGAAGGACCCTTAGCTCCTCCAAGTGGGAAGGCGGGGCCTGCTGGGCCTGGAGTCAGGAGGCTCAGGGCTGTTTCCAGCTCTTTCATGACCCCCAAAGAAGCATTGGTGCACAATCGGCGCGTTGGGGAAGACGCTCCCTCGGGGCCCTCCCGGCTCCACGGAGTCTGCGCGCAGAGTGCGTTGTGCGCATGTTCAGTAACCGGGCCTCCACTCCGAGGGCCGGGGATGACCAGCCCCGGCCTCGCCCCCGAATCTGCGTTATACTTACATGTATTTATATATAGTTATTATAGTATGTTAGAAACACATTAAGTATGTATATTAGAAAATATATCATAGAAAAGGCTATTACGTGTATTTTTATGGAGAGGAAAAAGTATAGTAACATACGAGTTTGTAAATTTTGGGCGTTTGTAATTGTAACCCATTGTTATGAGGATGGGCACCGGGTCTAACAAACCCTGGCCCATACAATCAATTGCGAGAAACATTTGTGCTCCTCCGTCGTGGGTGGTCCCATCGCTGTGGAACCAGCCTGCAGAGCGGTCGCCAGGAGAATGAAATAAGCGAATAAACGCAAGATGTCCCTGCACACGGTCAGTCCTGTTTGCGCACTGGCTACCATGATTATTAGGGTCTGTCTTGTCTGTCTGATAGCGGAGCTGCTGGGGCCAGGAGTCCTCCCTCGCGTGGAAAGTGTGAGGTCTGAAGGCCCGTGTGACTAACAGCCACGTCTTCTGGGCCACGGGGGAACAGTGTAGGGCCAGGGCTCTGTCGGCATCCAAACCCTAGTTTCTGGTTGGCAAAAGTGCCAAGATCTTCCAGAACCCCCAGGCCCGCCCTGGGCCCAACTCTGGGTCCCTGGGGTCCCCGGGGACCCCCTCTCGCTGGGCCTCGCTTACCCTGGCCCCGCAGTGAGCTGCTATCTCCTCAAACGGCGCCTTCTGGAACTTCTCCACCACCTGCCGCCGCCGCTCGCGCTCCTGCTCCTCCACGGCCACGCTGTCCACTGCAGCACGGAGTTAGGTCGGTCAGCCTCTCGTCCTCCCCCCCAGTCCCCATGGGGTCAGGGGCTGGAGAGGACAGAGACCTGGGGGGACCCCCGCCCTGGAGCTCTGTCTGTGACCGCAGCCGGGCTCTGCCCTCTGCCCTCTGCCCGTGGGCATGGAGGGCGTCACAGCGCCCTCCATGGTGCTGTCCTTTGGCCCAAGGAGGGCTGGACCTTTTCCTGATTCTGCCTGAGGGCTCAACCTCCTTCCTTGTGTGAGGGTTTGAGAACCAGCAGAGCTGACCCTTCAACTGGGCTTTTAAAGCCCCAGGTGGCCGCACGGCCTCTAGGAGTCACCATCACCTGAAGTTCCTGGAGCAGGAAGGACCTGGGGGGAGGGGCGGGATTCGGACAGGGACAGCAGCGACGGAAAAGCCACAAGGACCACCAAAGCCGGCGCGGACCCTCTGTGGCAGGGCGCTGTGCGGCCGGTCAGGCTTCTCGGTATTCCTCTTCGGATCCCAGATGAGTTAGAAAAAAGGGGGAGGGGCCTCAAATCTGTCCGTCATTCTCCACTTAAGGAGGCACGTTATGTTTAGAAAGAGCACCATGGATGACAGCAAAAGTAAGAAAGGCTTGGCATTTGAAGACGTAATTTGTGATCAGCATCCAAAGAGTTCTCTCTTTTGGAGTATTTCACTGACCGATAATTCAGACAGAAGACATGATGCCGCATTTTAACATCTATTGCCATTATGAAATACATAATACTACGATTTGCTCTTCATATCCCTCACTGGTCAGCTTGTTGCTTTGTATCAAATTCTATCAGAAACTAGTCAGAGTATTTATACGCAACTGCTCGTTACCTGCGTGGCTGCGACCCTCGGGGGGTCACTGTTAAAGGCCGCAGTCAGGAGAAAAAAGGCCACCTGACCTAAGACGCACGGGGCGCCCTGCTGGTCCCTGGCAGGCGGGCAGGGCTGTTCACTGCGGCTTTGGCTGTTGGGGTGGGTTTGGAATGGACGGAGGAAGCCGTGGGCCTCTGTCCTCACCTCTGTGCTGAATTGGCCTCCATGGGCGGCAGAGGGGGCTGCACACGCCCACTCGCAACCAGGACCCAGCTCCGCCCTGCCCCCCCACCCGGAGCCCCTGGGGGCCTCTCACTCACCAATGGCCTTTTTCAGCGTCTCATAGGTGATCTCCTCCGCGGGCACACGCTGAGGGAGAGGGGACAAGTGTTCAGAAAGGCAGGCGGGGAGGGCGGGAGGAGGCAGCCCTGGCTTCCTCAGGTAGCTGGCAGCCTATCTCTTGGCAGGAGAGTGTCCCCATGGGCCGACACTCCTTCGGGACCCCACCTTCTCACCAAGGTCTCCCTGGGAGCTCCCCAGGAGAAGTGAGGTGGGGGTGGGGAGGCTAATTCTCCCTCCGAGTCTCACCAAGAGGAACCCTCTGTTCCCCCCCTCCCCGCCCCCCGCTTGTAACCCAGTAACATTTTGAGGACTTAGGACATTAAATTATCCAGGTGGGATGTGAATACTAAATAAAGTCAGAAACGCTGAGGCCGGACCGAGGACGGGGGCCGCAGGACCCCAGCCGTCTGGAGAGCTGTAAAAGGTGGTGGGAAATAATAAAGCCCTAGCAAAGGTGCTCCGTGGGCGTGTGCCCTTCAGTCGGGTGCTGGAAGCAGTGATGGAGCTTGGAGCGCACCCCAGGAGTTCCCCAGGGGACTGCGAGCTCCTGGAGGGAGACCTGTGACGCACCCATGTTCTACCGCTTCCGTGAGGTCCTCAGTGAGAGAAGCCGACCCGGGGGAGAACGGCTTCGTTGACGAAAGTGCAAGGAGGGACATTAGTCAGGCTAGTGGCTCCCTTGGTGGGGGCGGGGGGGGGGGACATGGCAGAGGTGGGGCACCTGGCCCAGGACACTGATCCCTGATTAGTTCTGGTCCCTGATCGTGCCGGTGGACACAAGTGTTTTTTCCAGACGGAAATGTCTACGATGTACGTGACGACAGTGAGAAAACAGGACTTCCCTGGGAAACCGACTTTCTGTGCGACCTTAAATGTGCTGTGCAGGGGCGGGGACTCCGCTCCGCTCCGCGAGGGCCTGCCTGCACAGGGGGCCGGAGCGGTCCCCCCACTCCCCAGATGTGTCCTGGGGCTTCCCCAGGACAGTGTATGGGGGAGACATTCACCTCCTCCTTCTCGGGGCTGTTCCTGGATTCCACCTCCACCTGCAGGGAAATGGTTTCTCCAATGCTCTTCCTCTTGGATAAGCGGTCCTCATCTGGGGAAGGAGAAGCCAGAAGCTTGAGTTCACAGCCCTGGGGGCCGGGTGTGCACATGAGCCTGGTCACACCCCTGGTGACAACCCCCAAGCCTGCATGCGCCTCTGCCCAGCCCACGGTCCTCCGAGGGCGCAGTGCGCGTGCAGACGACCGGTGGACTCCGCAGAGGGCCGCGGCCTTCTCTGCCCACCATTCGGTGGTGAGCTCTGCTCTGTAGGACTAAGACTTTGAAATCACTGATGGGCACAAAGAAGCTGCTTCTGACCAGAAAGCCCGTCTCTACTCGTGTCGGCGCCATCCCCAGGGGCTGAGCGCCAGGGGCTGTGGTTTCTGCAGCAGTTACCGCGTGCCTTTCCCGCCAGCCCTCTCGGGCAAGTGCTGCTGACACCCCTGTCTTCTCACAGTCGAGGGAACTGGGACTCAGAGGTGCCAAGAGCCTTGTCCAAGATTTTCCGGGAAGTCCGTCCCAGAGAACGGGGTCTCTGTGGCCCACGAGTGGCACCACGGGGCCTCTCCCACCCACCAGCCAGGCTGTCTTGTGGGCCGCTCCCTTCTCGGGACCCCGCACGGAGGAGGAGAAGTGGGGGGGTCCCAAGGGTCTCGCCGCAGGTCTCCACGGGGTCTTTCAGCTCTGATGCGCCTCACACTCAGGCCCTGGCCTGCCCACGAGAAGCCAGAGGCAGGCTCGGAAGTGCCCGGACAGAGCCCGTACCTGTCAGCTGAGGGATGTAGGGCAGGCAGAGCCGGTCCGCATTGTAGCCACTGCCCCCCAGGACCTCGCTGATCTTGCTCTGGCGGAAGAGGAACTCGATCACCACGCCGTCCAGGTTCTGAGACAGCCTGGAGACAAAGGAGGGAGGGGGCGGGTGAGGACCGCGGGGAGCTAGGAGGATTTTTCCTAACGGCTTTCCTTATTACAAAGGCAACGTTCATCATGCAAAATGACAGGGACGCAAATGGAAAAACAATCACCCAGAATCCCACTTTCCAGAGAGAACCTGGAGGGTGCAGGGTCCTCCAGCCGCACACGCGCCTGTGAGGCGTGCACATCGCCCCGCCCCCACGCTTCTGCCGGGGGCCCGGCTCCTGCACCTACAGTGACTGTTTCTCAGTGACTGTTTCTCAGTCACTGCTCTTCCAGGCCACCGTAGGTGGCCACCATCGTCTGTCGCGTGGGTGGGCCGTGATCGATAAAGCCGCCCCCTGCTGCTGGACACTGTAGTTTTTTCAGGGTACCTTTTCCTTGAGTCCCCCTGATGCTGAAGGGAGTCTGGCCCACAGACTCTGACAATGCCCCCTGGACTGAGGGCAGCTCTCGCCTGGAACAGCTGCTCCAGGATTTCTTCCCATGGGCGTGGTGGCCAGAGCTCCCCCAGGTGGCCTTGCATACCCTCTACAGGGTCAAGATGGCTCAGGGTGTGTTCCACTCCCCTAATGAGGGTCAGACTCGACCCAGGACCTACAGGCCACAGGCAAGGCCCACGTTCAGCCTTGGAGCCCACAGGACCCTGAGCCCCCGCCTCAGACTCTCTACTCAGGCGCCTTGGGTGCCTGGACCACGCCCCAGGTGCGTTCCTCACCTGGGCCTCTCCACAAACACGTCCTCAGGGAGCATGTACGGAGCCTCTTTCTTCCTGGTCTCTATCACCTGGCATTGGGGAGGAATCACACGGTGAGAGCCGGGCTCGGCAGGGACAAGGAGTGCGAAACAGCCAGAGGAAAGAGCTCCCACCGCCCACGCCCCGGAGTTCCCTCCCTCCCGCAAACCGGAGGCAGGGCACCCTCCAGCTGGGCTTCTGAGGGACAAACTCAGGTCAACAGTGACCCCCAGAGCAGCCCGAGGCGCCCGGGTGGTCTGTGCAAGCCCTCCCCAGTGACACATAGGCACAGAACATCTTCCAAATGCAGGGGACTCAGCTCCCGAGAGACTGCTCTTTCTCGCTTCTGTACCTATTCCTGTTTTCTCTTTAAACCCAAAATGGCAGCAGAGGTCACACCACTTCCCAAGCCCTGGGGAGCTGCAAACACGTCGCGATGGACAGGGGCGTGCTGAGGTTCCCTCAGCATCCTTCGCACATTTTTGACCAGGAAGGTGGAAGCTACTGAGACGGGGAGAGGTGGGACACAGTCGGTGGGCAGGTGTATGGGGCGGGGCGCGGAAGCAATGCTGCTGCTGTTTCCACCGAGAGGGTGTCTGGCCTGGCCCTGCCCACACTCCCCGCGGCAGCCCAGCGGTGGGGAGCTCCTGCCCCGCTCGGGTGGTCTCTAGCACACGGACACAGCACTGTCCCCCACACCCCCCAGCTCGGGCCAGCTGAGGTTTCTTGTGTTGTTTCACTTCTTCTAGTGTATTCTCCAGTTAGTCCTAGACGTCATGTCATTCCACCTACAAACACTTCAGTATGTTCTAAAATGCCTTTTGCGACAGATGAGGACACTGGACGATAGCCCGAGGACCGGGTCACACCGAGGCCTTACTGATCATTGGATTTACTGTGTCAGTAGCAGGGCAATCATGTGGGAAGCTGTCTGTTCTTTTGGATATAAATAATGATGTCTGTAGGGGTGAAACGACACAATAGCTGAGATTTTCAAAGTTTCGGCAGCGGAGAAGAAACGGGAGAGGAGACGGACGCGGCACCGGGGTGGGGGGGGGACACCCGCGCAGCCCACCCACCTCGAGGATGTGCTGGCAGAAGGCGGGCACGGCGGTGAGCTGGCTGATGAGGTTCAGGTAGGCGGCGCCCAGCGCATACAGGGCGCAGCGGTTGTACACGGGCAGGTTCTCTTCGTTGACCTGGGCCAGGTCCTGCGGCGACACACAGGGGCCTCTGCGGTTTTCAACGGGCAGTTACGCAGGAGCTGCGGCCGCCCCCTCCCCCTCCCCCGTTGTAAGGGGACGGCCCACCGCGCCACGCGAAGCCCTTTTCAGCATCTGCTCCGTCATCTCTTGGAAGCCAGAGGCCGTCCTTGTTAAAGCTGACAGAACGGTCCCCGGAGCAACCCATGGGGGCGACGGCCTCAACCCCCACTGGGCAGTTCCAGCTTCAGTGACTCTGCCTGTCCCAACCCTCGTCACCAAGCTGTTGCCTTCGCTTCAGACCCCGGATGACGCCTGCAGCACGGGACTGGCTTGCTATATTGGGTCCACACATTAACCCGAGAAAGGTGTGGGAGCTACCAGGGGACTGGATACCAAGGAATCTCAAGTTCTGGAATGAAGACAGTCATGGTGTCTGGGCTGGCCTGGCAGGACTCAGCACCTCCAGGCGGGTGGCCTAAGACTCCCCGCCACTGAATCCCCAGGCTTGCCACGCGCCAGGAAACAATGCCCGTCTGCCTCAGGACCGGGAGACCCTTACCTCTGAGGTCTGAAGGACACGCCCCAGGGGCTAGAGCAGGCTTCCACCCAGGCAGGCCCCGGAAGCCCGAAGCCCTACGCAGCGCCCCGCTGCCCGCCGAAGAGTCACAGGGAGGCCCGCGGATCTACAGCCCCCAGGCTCGGGGGCAGGAGCGGGAATATGGATTTTTAATAAGTGCTCGAGGCGATGCAGAAGCACAGCCAGGTTTGGGAACCGGGTGACTTGCTTTGGGGTCACCTGGGGCTTACAAGCACCCTCTTGGCAGCCCTTGGAGCCCCATTCAGGCCCTGCAGGAGACTTTAACTACCAGGGGCTAAGGGGTGTGTTTGAATGACCCTCTCCCCTGGGTCTCCGTTAGCCTGAGAATGGGCTAAAGCCATGAATGACGCATTCTTCGCGGTTCGCCCACAGGCCACGGTCTGTGGTCTTCGTGGAGGAATGGCCAACCAAAGGCACCATTTTCCTGGGCTCCCAGACAAGTGTTAGCAGTTGCCGCTCAGCGCTTCAATGAGTGCTTGGTCATAACAGGTCCTCTCCCCCGATCCCGGCCCCTACGTCCTGCTGACCTGGACGGCCAGCACCAGGCGGATGAGGTCCACCACCACCTCCTCGTTGGCCAGCTCGATGCTGATGAGTGCCAGCAGGCCGTAGAGCGCCTCGTAGTGGCTCTGCAGGTTCGTCTCCTCCTTGCAGCTCAGGTAGATGTGTCTGTAGAGCTGCTGGGAGTGCTGGGGACACGAGGAGGGGGTGGGCAAGGCCACGGGGCAGGGCGGGGCAGGAGGGGCAAGGAGGACAGAAAATCCAGTCAGCGGGGGTGGGCAGGCCGTGTGTTCCCCACTCCCACCGCCAGGGAGAGGCTGTGTCTGAAGCCGACACCAGGGGGCATGAACACGTGCAGGAGTGAGCACCCGGGGCGGCGGGGTCCAGCTGAACCAGCAGCAAGTGCTGCTGCCCAAACTGCTTTAGGGTCAGAACACAGTCCCTGGTCCTCACATGGCCTTGGTGATGAGCATGACCCTGGGGCTTGACCCCCACGTGGGTCGGCTGCTGCTCATCCTGCCTACCACAGTCAAAGCAGGAGGAGGCCAGCTGGGGGGCAGAGGTCAGCAGTGACGTGGGCGCTGGAAGGTGAGGGCCCACGGGGTCTGCCCGGGATTCTCTGCATCTTGAGGTCACACTCACTAACCTTCTTCATGAAGACGGTGTCCTGTCGGGAGCACTTGTCCACCTTCAGCTTCAGGACAGAGATGTCACTCAGGGTACTGGACGGGGACAGAGGGGCCACCTTAGTTAGCCCTTGTGTGAGGCCACTCAGGGCCCACGTGGTGCCACCGGGCCTTATCCCGATGTCATCAGTCGTTCCCCCAGTGCCCCTCCAGCCCTGGCTCCTAGCCCGCTCTCTGCTTTCTCCCACGTTCTCTAGTTCCTGTCCCTTTTTCTTAGACATTGTTCGAGATTCTTCTCTTGATCCTCACCTGGAAACTCCCTTTAGAACGTGCTCTCTAGCTCCCAAATCTCCAAACCACCTGCTTCTCCCAGGTCAAGCACCCCTTCTTTCGGGGGCCCCTCCCCTCTCGGGACCCCAGGTCCATGTCTGTGATCGGTTCTCCAGTGGGCCTCGCTGCATCTCTGAATCGTGCTCCTGTCTGCACGCGCGGCCCTGTCAGGAGTCTGCTCCCAACACACACCAACAGGGAGGAAACCTCAAGGTCACCTGATGGACGAGAACTTGTGGCGGTTGCCATGGCGATCGATGAAGCTGATGAGAATCTCTAGAACGAAGAGACGGATCTCTGCGTCGTCCATGAGGGCAGTGGACAGGAGGCGGTCCAGGAAGCTGCTGGGCAGGGCTGACATCATGTTGTTGCACTGGAAACCTGTGGACACCTGCAAGGGAGCCCAGCACGGCTGTGCTTCGGAGCGCGGGCCCTCTCAGCAGCCCGCACAGGTTGGGTCTGAGGCAGGCATCCTCTCTGGCATCTCCCGGTCCAGATTTCCCCAGTCCGGACCCACCCCGGGCCCGGGCCCTGGATGCCAGAGGCAACTTTTCTGAACATGCCGGCATCCACCTGGGCGACCTCCTCAGCTCAGCCCAGCAGACATGGGGTTGGATGGGGAGAGTGTGTGGGAGCATGATGTGGCTAAAACAAGGCAGGGAATGCGCACTGGAGGGGAGCAGGAGCCAGGAAGCCTCTGAACGTACATTCTGGGCCGTCCGGGCACAGCTGATAAAGGCTCACTGTACATACAGTGCTTGGCTAGGCGTGGGGACAGCCCCAGAGAAACGGACAGACAGTGGGAGAACTTACAGCTGGGCTGAGGAATGAGAGCCCGGGCACAGGGCAGCAGCCAAGAGCACACACGGCGTTTGGCTACATCTCTCCCAGCGTGGCCACCAAGGGGGTCTCTGGGTAAAGCTAGCTGGCACAGGCACTTCCTTTGTGATGTCAAAGCAGTCAAAGCAGCAAAACATATTTACTGCGGTAGCCCACACACCATAAAACAAGGCCTCTGATGATTCGGCAGGCCCTGGAGGGCCTGGCAAAACCCGGCGCCATCAACAGTCAACCTCAGGGTTCCCTGAAGGGGGAATGGATCGGATTGCGCCTTGAACACCACCTCAGTGAGATGCCGAGCACAGATCAGTGAGAGTAAACTCCGTGAAGAGACGGCAGGGGTACCTGGGGGGAGGAGGCCACCAGCTGCGGGCAGCGTTAGCATGAAGAGCTTTATGACCATAGAGCGTCGTGAAAGGTGGGGGCTGGGAGAGGGGAGGGGAGACACACGAGTGGGAGGGAGGAGGGGGCGGGCGGGACAGAGCGCCTGGGCTGGAACAGACGTGGAGGAGGGATGCGGTGGGGGGCCTGGGGAGGGAAGAGGGGCTGGAGACCTCCCGGCGTCAGTCTGAGAAGACAGGCACACCTCGCTCTGTGGTGCTTCCCTCTACTGTGCGCGCAGATACCGCACTGTGTTACAGAGGGAAGGTGAGACCCTCCGCCAGGACAAAGATCACGGCCCGCTGAAGGCTCGGATAACGATGAGCATTGTTTAGCAATAAAGTAATTAATTAATTAATGAGAGAGGGGAAGGGAGGGAGAAAGCGAGGGAGAGAAGCATCGTTGTGCAAGAGAAACATCGATTGGTTGCCTCTCGAATGTGCCCCCAAATGGGGACTGAACTCACAACCAGGCATGCGCCCTGACCGGGAATCAAACTGGTGACCTGCGGCTTTGCGGGACGCTGCCCAGCCCACTGAGTCACACCAGTCGGGGCGCAATAAAATGTTTTTTAAAATCAGGTGTGTACGTTGGGTTTTAGACATAATGTAATTGCATACTTAACAGATTATAGTTTATATAGTATAAACATAGCTTTCATGTGCACCAGGCAACCAAAAGCCTCGTGTGACTTGCTTTACTGCGGTACTCCTCGCTTTACCGCGGGGTCTGGAACTGAGCCCGCACTGTCTCCAGGGTGTGCTGTGTGAGATCTGGCTGTGTCACTGGAAACCGAGACCTACCTACTCTTTAACAAGGAGCAACCCGTGGGGAGCAGCATTTCTAGAAAGCTCTCGTGGTTGTATTTCTGATAGGTGAGGAGGGATGGGGATGGTCCCGAGTTTCCGCCAGGGCTGTGCACGAGTAGCTGGGGAGCTTGTTATAGTTGCAGGGTCAGGACCCGCCCCCCCCGCAGGCTGGTGGCTCCGAGGCTGCGGTTTAACAGGGCGGCCCCAGGAACGACACCTGAGAACAAGGCATCTAGACTCCAGTGACAGCTGCAAAGATGTACCTGTGTTCTGCCATTTATTAAAAAGTGTACGTTTATGTACACTTATGTACACTTTTTGCCCAGTTTTTTTTTTTAGGGAAAAATAAGGATGCACATTATGCCTGGGTATGATGGTTATGTACCACAGCTAGAATAATCCCGTGCACAATGTGGACAAAAAGGCGGGTGCGCATTATACACGTCCAAACACGGTGCAAAGAGGAATATAAAACGCAGGCGAAGGGAAAGCTTGCGGCTGGGAGACTGGGCACCAGGGGGAACCAGAGCGGGGAAGGGTCTGGGCAGGTCCTCGGCGGGGACGGGGGCAGGAGCCAACAGATCCCGCCTCAGTGCCGAGACGACGACGAGGCCGTCAGCAGCTGACACGGGACCTCTGTGAGGATCAGAAACCGGCCACCTGCACCACGGCAAGTTGTCACCGTCCGTTGGCCTCGGAAGGAGCTTCCTCCCGAGGGGGCAGAGCAGGGACCGGACGGGAGGGGAGGGGCTCACCTGAAGGAGGGATTTCAGCAGCATAATCTGGGTCAGCCGGTTCCGGTTCTCCCTGCAGACCAGAGATACACGTGCTCGCCAGGGTGTGATTGGGGCGGACACCGCACGCTTGCCTGCACAGTTGGCTCTCCCTCGTGATTAGAGAGAGCTCCAGGAGGCTGATCGTGTTGGGCTACCCAGGACAGTGACAACCAGAGCCGGGAAGCAGGCCAGGGCATTGACGGGTCCCCCCGAGGCGGGAGGCAGTGACGAGGGGGGAGGTGGCAGCCCACGTCATTGCGGTGGGACCCGGGAGTAGAGGAAGAGAAAAGTGCGGGCAGAACCAGGAAGGCGAGAGCCGAAAACGTGGGCCAGGGTGGCTGGGGCGGCCGGCAGCAGCAGAGGAAGCGGGAGGGAGGCCTGGCGGACCTACCCTGTCCTGCCGGTCTCCACGGGGTGGTGCAGGGAGGGCAGCGGGACCTTGCTCATGATGAAGAGGATCACCTCCGAGCGCTGATAGGTGGGCAACGTGCTGGCGAAGGAGCCTGCGGAGAAAGGACAGCGGAGAGGGTCGCCCAGGTGAGGCCACGGCTGCCTGCTGAGGTCTCTCAGCTCGGGCCTTCCCCCGAGCCAGCTGCCGCGGGGAGTGTGGGCTGCTTCCCGGTGGGCGGGGGGTGACAGTCAACACAATGAGGAGACACGACTCCGCGGGCTCGTCCAGGCTCCAGTTCCTCCATGTGTTATTCCTGCGCCCGAGGCGCAGGTTTTCGGATGGGGAACTTGGATGCTGGGACCAGGGCAGCAGCCTAGGCGCCGTCACTGGCTGCCCTGGGGGTGCCCTTGGGTAGGTCACACCTCCGGGATCTCAATGGCTTCATCTGTGAGCGGGGATCAGGCCTGCCTGGCCTACTCCTCAGAGCTGGCACTGGGGCAGGAAGGCCCTGGACGTGATGACCCTTCACCCTCGTGGGGCGAATTTATAGTTCTCTTCCACGCCCACGTGCATACACATTTCTCACGGCTTCCTCCCTTCCTTCTTTCCTTTCGTTTGCTCTCCGCACCCCCCGCCGCCCCGCCAGTCCCTCAGACCTGGAGGCAGCAGGCAGGCCAAATGGAAGGGTTCCCTTCTCTGAGCCTGGGACCTGCAGTCGGGCTGAGAAGCCCGAGAAGATGGTTCCCGGCTCTCACTCGGGCCAGGCCTGACCTGGGGAGTCTGGGAGCTGCACACACCTCAGACTGACTCCACCCCCGCCATGCTGGTGCCGGACGAACAGAGGACGATCTCACACTGCCCTGGACTGAAGTCCTCCTGGGGGCCATTTCCGGGCCGCGCCCCTTCCCCGGGCCCCAGCCCGCCCCAGGTCCCACCCCACCCCCCACCCCTCCGGGCCGGCACCTATGGTCTTGATGACAGCCTCCTGGAACATGCACTCTTCGTGCTCCTTGATGATCTTGGTGCCCAGGCTGACGGCCCCATCGTAGCTCCCGGTCAGGGCATAGTCGATGCTGAGCCGCAGCTGCCTCAGAAGAGTGTTGAACATCTCCAGCACTGTGGGCCCTGGGTGCAGGGCGGGGCGGGGGGGGGGCAACCCAGAGTTTAGGGCTGGTGCCCCTCATGCATTTGTCCCTGCCCTGCCCTTCCAGCCGGGGGCTTCCTCCGCCCTCACCTTCCCCGCTGACCTCTGCAACCCCGGAAAGCCGGCTCTGACACCTCCCGCAGGTGCCCTGCCCTCTTCTGGAAGGGGAGGCAGCCTCCCACCGGGGGCAGCTCCTTGTCCGTGAGGGGTTCCCAGCCCACTCCCTTCGGGGCCACCTTACCCACGGAGCCGGTGGCTGCGATGACGGCGGCCTCCGACAGGACCTCCACGATGCCTGCCCGCACGGTGGCCGCGCTGCGGCTGTTGGCGTCCAGGTGGCTCAGGAGCTGCTGGATAACCAGGTGGGAGTGCTGCGGCTGGGGGGAGGAAGACGTGCTGGCCCCAGACAGCCCCCCGCGTGGCCTCTGGGCCGGCAGCCCTGCACGGGGCCCACAGGCGGGGCTGGACAGAAGTGGGACGGTCCCCGACTCCTCTTCCGGGGCCCCTCCCCCGTTGGCCCAGCAAAGAGCAAAGGCCAACCCGGCACAGACCTGGATCCCCACCACTTTCCTGGGTTCTTCCACCCCAAATGGGTCAAACACCAACGTTAAGATATCCTCTTCCTTTTCCCTTCCCCATGTCTTATTTAAGGCCCACGAGAGGCCACACGGTTTAGTCTAGAGCTGCTGAAAGTGTGGCCCGTGGTCTGGTGGCAGTCTGAGGTCTGATGCCCTATTTTTACGCGGAGCTAAGCACAGCAACGGAGAGCGAGTGCTGAGCGAGCAACGCGCCTCCTCCGCCGCGGCGGCCGCGCCCGGTCTGTGGGCTGCACTCTCTCTGCACGGACGTCTCGTTTAATTTTTCTACACATTCTCTAAGATCGCACTTTATTGGCCTGTGATGGGCTGAACTGGCCTCAGGCAGCTGGCTCTGTCTGTGAGGGCCCCGCCCTGCTCCCAGAGGGGCCCTCGGCCAGGGGACGCCGTACCTGAATTGAATACATGATGATTTTAAAGCAACGGATGGCGAACACCTTGGGCTCCCACAGGGAGTGGTTATCCAGATGGCTGTGAGGGAGACAACATGGGGATGGCCGTGAAACCCACAGCGACGGTAGGGAGGAGAGAGAGCCTAGGGGGAGAGGGGCACCTCCAGGGTCCCGGTGCAGCTCACACAGCTCCCGGTAGGTGGGAGGAGGGGAGCAGGAGGGACCCCGGGCCAGCCCCAGCCCCAGCCCCAGAGCTGGAAGGAGGTCAAGGAGCAGGGCTCTCCAGGGCTCCTGGGTTTAGGGGTGAACCCGGCACCTTCCCTCAGCTCTGGGGGCCCTCCTACCAACTCCTCTCCCCCAAACTGCACTTGGCCACTGTGTGGGGGCTTTTGTTGTCCCAGCACAGGGGACACAGGCACAGAGGAGGGGCCCCACGTGGCCACACCTCCCCTCTCCGGACTCAGCAGGTGGACGCCGGGCGGACACTGTTGGCTTAGGCGAGGGGCGTGGGGAGGGGCTCACATGAGCACAGGCTTGATGGCGTTCTTGATGTTGCCGAAGGCGGCGCGGCCCAGCAGCTCCCGAAGGCACCTCTCTGCCAGCTCCGCCGGGTTCTCCTTCTCCTTCTCCGGCGCTTGGAGGGGCGAGGGCGAGCGGCTGCGGGGACACACGACCAGGCGGGTGAGGGGGCAAGGCGAGGCGGGGGCGCGCCTGGGTCTCCGTGCTGCAGCCGCGCAAACGGTGACAGCGGGACGAGCGGGGATCCGGCGCGGGTCACCGGGGCGACCGCGCGCGGCGGTCAGAGGTTAAACGGGGTCCAGAGGCCCAGAGCGGAGGAAGGTGGTGGGCGAAGGGATCAAGTTTTCTCGGAAATCCTGAAGGACGGGCCTGATGCGCCTCTGAGAAAGGCAGATTCCCCGAGCGCCACGCGCCCGGCGAGGCACCGACCCCGACCCCGACCCCGACCCCAAGTGCCTCCGGGCTCCTGGGGCTTTGGAAGGACAAAAAGAGATGTGATGCGAAAAGAGAGGGGCAAGATAGCAGGAAGCAAAATAAAGTGGGAGACAGGAGAAGGGAGAGGGAAATGGGGGAGGAGAAAGGCACAGCGGTTGGCCCGGGTGTGACGCAGTGGTACCCGAGTCGCAGGAGGTGGGCCCAGATCTGGACAGAAGGATCCCCAAGACTCGCGGCCCTGAGACTACAGGGCAATCTTGTCAGTGAGGTGCGATGCCGGAGACGGCCACGAGAGGGCACACTTACTCTCCCTGTCTGCTAGCTGCAGAGGCTTGATTGACAGAAAGCGAGGGACCTAATCCGGCCAAGGTGCACCGGGTGATGAACAGTTCCCTCCATCCCATTTCACAGAGGGGAAGAGCAAGGGGTGGGGACTGGCTGCACTCCGGATCCGGGGGCCTCCAAATTAAACCCCAATGCCTGCAATTTGTGTTGCGGGGCTGCTGGCAGGCACGTTTTAGGAAGTGACGGGGCGGGGGTGGTGGTGAAGGAAGGTCCGGGAGGCACAGCCCTCAGTCACTGGAGCCATCCATGCAAGGCATTTCAAAACCGCCTTGGCCTGCTGCTGCTTCCAGAGAGACAGCGGTCACCTGGAGACATGGCTCTTTGCTCTCACCAGCACACTCACCCCTGCAGAGCTACACCATTACGGTCCTTCCTTCAGGAACTCAGACCTTAACGGGCAGAGAGCCGGCCCTGGGCGCTTCGCAGACAGTCCCCCGAAGCCAAGACCCACAGCTTCCCCAGGGAAGCGCCAGCAGGCAGCCTGAGCCCTCCACGAGGCCGGCCGGCAGGCAGCTGCGTGGGGGGCTGTGAGTGCCTGCAGCCCAGGTCCCGCCCTGCCTGGCCGGCCTACCTCTCCGCCTCCTCCACGTGCTGCAGGTTGAAGAGCAGCGACGGGACGATCTTGTCCATGTGCTGAGGGTCCCAGATGTTGGCCTGCAGCTCGTCGTTCACCGTCTTCCTCACCACCCCTTGCAGCCCCTTGATGCCCGACATCCGGATTCTGCGAGGAAAGGGTGAGGTGAGGCCAGGAAGCCCTCCTACCCCGGGAAGTCCAGCTTCCCTGGCAAGTGCGGGGGTGAGGGAGGGATGCATTCACCCACCGAAGGCAGGATGGAGCCCCCCTTCTGCTGTCCCTGCAGCTTGGGCTTCTGGCTGGCCGGCTTCGTGTGCCGGTGGGCACGGGCCAGCTGCCTTTGCCCGGGAACCACCCCTACGGCTCCCTCTCTTCAGTACCCAGCTGCGTTTGTTCCAGCTTGAGCCCAAGACACAGGAGCTCCCAGTGCTGCTGAGAACGGACGAGGCCGATCCAGGGTGGGTGAGGTGGGCGGGGGTGGGGCTGGAGGGGGAGGCACAGGGCTCCCAGGCTCTCCTGGCACAAACGGGTTTAGACTGGGGCTAAGCTGGCTGAGCAGTCACAGGGGAAACTGAGTCACAGCACAGAGGAGGCCCTTTCACACACCTCCCTGGTCCCCACCGCGCTGGCCCAGGGTCAGCGCGGCTCTGCAGAGGGGTCCCTCTTTACTGGCCTTTTATTTCAGCTTGAAGTTCCTCTTTTTTTTTTTTAATCAAACTGCTTTTTCTAATTATAAAATAACACAAGCAGATTATAGAAAAGTATAAAGAAGATTTACCCCTACTGTAACCACTCCTCAATAACCATTACTGGCCTTTCAGTATCTTACCTACATTCTGCATGTGATATATCGCAGAATTAAGAAGCTTTGACATGTATAATACGCACTTTCTCCCATGACATTTTATCGTAAGTGTTGTTCTGTATCATTAACTCTTCATAGCACGTGTGACGTAGTGTCATAAGAACCTTCTGAACGGGTCCCCTGTTGGTCATGTAAGTTGTTGCTACACTCTTTGCTACTGTAACAGTACTACGAGGGACATCGCTGGATAAAAGGTTTTACGACATTTCAAGTCATTGCCACGAGTGGAATCGCTGGATCAAAGCTGAGGAATGAAGGCTCCCGGAGCTGCCAAATTCCTCTCCCAGCGCCGGCGCACGAGCTGCGGGCGCGTGCCAGCCTCACTGCCGTGCGTCGGCCCCGGGATCTCATTTCAGCATCTGCTCTAATTTTATGGCTCAGGAAATTCCTCCCATCTTGCAGCCACTTCAGTTTGGATCTGTCTGAGGATCAGTGGAGCTGAGCAGTTTTCCCAAATGCGCAGTTGCCACTCGCATCCTCAGCTTCAGTTTGAAGTGTGGTTAGCAGGGTGCTCCCTGGTCCTCACCCAGTGGCCGTACCCGGGTGGTGAGAGGGCCTGCAGCACCGGGGGCCTTGGCCCAGGACCGGCCCGGGCTGCTGACGATGGATAAGGATTCCCCAGGGAACCCTCAGCTGCTCTGACTCTGACCCCCGAGTCAAGCCCCTGAGCCAGAGGCTGCCCGGACCAGGGAAGGAAGTAACCGGAATAGTATCTCCCTAACCATCCTGGGCTCTGGGTCAGCAGTGCTCCCGGATGCACTGCAGACTAGATCCCTAACACGCTGGACTCACGTGCCACCCCAGGCAGTCTGGCTGGTGAGAAAGCAGGCCCAGTGGGTGGGAATTTTCTTCCCAGGGCTTCCTCGTACATGAGAGTGAGTTAAGTTCCCCTTTGCCTTCGGACTCCCCAGAGTCCCTTCCACACATGTACACAGTTCATTCCATGACACCCAGAGCCGGCTGACCCTTTCAGAGTCAATTCAGAAAGACCAGACCTGGGGGACAGGAACCCTCTCACTGCTCCTTGTCGTGGGCTCAGTGCAGGCCTGCACGTACAAGTGGCTCGGATGTCTCTGAGCCCCAGGGGACGGCACACAGACACACACACACACCTATTTTAGGGACCCGAGGGTGGTTCTTGGAGAGGCGCTCTGGGCCCTGCAAAGGCTGAGAATGACAGGGGGGACCTCTGGGAAAAGAGGCTGCGGTTATGAGACGGAGACAACAAGAGGTAGGGAGAGGGCCCATGCCAGGACCTCGGCCCCCACGGGCCCTCCTTGCATGGATGGCAAGCGCCAGGCTGTGGGTGCAAAGGGCACCGCCCGGTTGCCAGGAGCAAACCTGAGCAATGCTCCCCTCCGACGTTCTGCACGCTCCCAACACTGTCAGAATGCGGCACTGGCCATGCCTGCTTCTGCACCTCTGCTCCTACCACTGTGGGCTGTGTGAGTGTGTGTGAGTGCGCAGCTGTGTGTGTGAGTGTATGCACGGATGCACGAGTGTGTGTGATCACGCGAATGATTGTGTGTGAGTGTGTGACGGCATGAGTGTGTGTGTGCAGGGTGGCATGGGAAGCGTCCCCTCCACCCCCGCTCCTGAAAGCTTGGCATCGCCTGAGAGGTCGCTACCTGTTACTGCATCACCTGGGTACAGCCCGGCACCTTCCCCCACACCCACTTCTGGGCAGGCCCCACCTGCTGCGGGCCCCTCTGCCTCTTCATAGCCAGTTGGGAATGAGGTGGCTACTGCAGGGGCCAACACTGGGGAGAGGACAAGGGGCTCCTTCCTTCCATGGCCCCCACTGGCCTCCTCGTGTGCACTGCCCAGGGGGCCCACAACTGGTTCAGGGGAAGGGAGACTGGGGACCGGCCTTGGAGTCACTCGTCAGCCAAAGGCTTGGAAGCCTTGGGAACCAGCAACCCCGGGGGATGGAGGGGTTCACTCCTTGTTTTTCTGATCCAGACCGTCAGCTGTGGCAAGCAAGCTGTTGCTAGGGGTGCACGGGGCTCCCTAACCCTGCCGTTGTTGCCCAGAACTCGGGGCCCCTCAGAGGTGCTGAGGCATCAGCTGAGTTCCAGGACAAGCCCCTGGAGAACTGGTCTACTGTGTAGTAGACCGGTTCTTCTCCAGCTCCCCCTGCAGCTTCCGTGAAAGGACAGCCAAGCACCTCTCCCTCCTTCCTTCCCCTTTCGAATGCAGTCTCCAGTTCGCACGGCAGTGACCTACTTCTAACCCTCTTGGACCCTGTGGTTCCAAGGACGTTGCTTGCCACACAACACCTGTGCTTCATCAGCCCGATGCCGGGTCCTGCTCTACCTGCCCGTGTCGGCACGCGTTCATGTAACTCTTTGTGACTTTATTTCACGGGTTTTATTTCTGTGTGGATCCGTGTGTTATCGTGAGTTAAGTATTTTTTCTTGTTTGATATGCACATGTAAATATATTCTGTAATTCAAGATATTTATCTGAAAACACGCATCCATCCATTCATTCACGCACTGAACAAGGATCGACTGAGTCCCTGCTGCTCCCCGGCCACTGCTTTAGCCCTTGGGAGACATCAGCGAACAAACAACGGTGCCTGCCCTCGCAGAGCTCACATTCTGGTGGGGGGCGGGGCAGACAATGGACACGAAATGCAGTCAGTTATGAAACGTGTTTGAAGAGGACGCAGGCCGCGGGTGGGGGAGGGGACGGAGCAGGGTGCGGGAAAAGGGGGTGGTGAGTGCGGATGTTCAGGGTAGGGCATCATGGACAAGGGGACCGTGGGCCCGAGGCCGGGCCTCCCGCCACTCACTTGGTCTTGATTTCCAAGTCGTCGTGGCTGGAGTGGCACATCTCGCTGAAGCGGGACACGAAGAAGTCGTAGCTCCGGTGATAGGAGGGCGTGTCCTCCTCGATGTTGGCGAACTTCACAAACTGCCCAGAAGGAGAGGGAGGGGAATGCACGTGAGCGGTGGCCTGCTGTGCTCCTCACCTTTGAGCCCTGGGACTCTGCATCCCCAGCACCCACCCCCCCCCACACCTCCATGTTAAAGCCAGGGGGGCAGCACGTCTGGGCAGCCCCGAGTCCCGGACTGGCGGTGGCCCGCCTCCCAGAGCGCACTGGTTCCAAATCCTGCTCACAGTTCCCGTCTACACAAGGAGACTGGGACCGGGGCCTCCTCACCCTTCCCTGCTGGATGGGAGAGCAGAGGAAGGCAGAGAGTATAGGGAAGGGGACCCATGGAACTCTGGCTTCCTGTCATGTGCAGGGCTGCACCGAGGACAGACACGGGCTGTGAGGAATGACACCCAACCAGAGACAAAGCCCTCACTCGTCAGAGCACGCTGCCCTACCCTGGAATGCATTCTGGGAAGCAAGGACAACTCTGAAATTCGATGAAAAAGTGTAGTCACATTTGATTGTTCAAAATTGGGGTAAGTCTTTAAGTTTGACTCTTCGTTTCACTAAGTCTTGCCCGGCACTCCCAGCCGCAAGTGCCTCCTGCCGTCACCACGCACGTGTCTCAGGTCTAAGCGGGGACTTAGTCTCAACCCAGTCCCACAAGGAGAACTGTGGACTAAGGGGAGTCAAATTACTAAAACATTAAATATAATTCTCATAGGTTATTTCATTTGTTGTTATTAATTTCATAGTGCAAACAACTCTAAAAAGATTAGACTTAAAAGGTATCCTCCATTATTCTGACTTTTATTATTCAATTGCTACAGACATTTTTGTGAGTTCAAAAAGGATGTACGATTGAGATTGTTCTAGTAGCAATTCCAGTGTGTGTGTGTGTGTGTGTGTGTGTGTGTGTGTGGTTTCCACAGCACCAACACGCAATGCTCCAGACTCCAGCTGGTGCCTCAGAATTCAACTCCGTGCTGACGTTATTTATGAGAGATCGCATCAGACCCATGGTTAAGGGTTCGATCCCATAAGACTGCCCCCCTTCAGACTCCAGCGGCAAGTCCGGGTTGAACCCTGTGCTTCTGACTGACCAGCTATGGGTGGGAGGTTCCTGCAGCCCCCTCCTTGGGTTTGAGGTATTTGCTAGAGTGGCTCCCAGTACCCAGAGAAGCATTTTAGTTACTAGATGGCCAGCCGATTACAAAAGGGCGTGTGTAACGCAGGACCAGCCAGATGGAAGAGACGCAGAAGAAGAGCCACGTGGGAGGGGTGTGGCACTTCCATGCCCCCTCCAAGAACGCTCACTCTCCGCCTGTCCGCCCGGTCAGTAACCCAGAGGCTCTCCGCGCCCCAACCTTCTGGCTTCCACGGCGGCCTCACCACCCAGGCAGGATCACTTAAATCCTTGGCTACTGGGGGGTGAGCCCATTCTCCTGCCCCTCCCCACTCCCTGCAGGTTGTGAATGGGTGGGGCGGGGGCACTGAAATGTCCAGCCCTCCAGACCCGGGGTTGGGTCTCCTCCAAAAGTCACCTCATTAAAACAAACCCCGTTGGGGTGGAAAAGGGATTGTCAGGAATAACAAGACACCCGTTTCACCTCTAGGGTGCCTGTCCCTGAAGAAGCTTCAAGGGTTTTAGGAGCTCTGTGCCAGAAACGGGGACTCAGACCAAACACACATTTCTGACTACAAACCGCAGTATCACAGCTGTCACAAACTGACGTGGTCAGTGCACTCCCACAGCATTCAGTGTCAATCGTCCATCTGCTTTCCTATTCAACTACTTAAAAGTTGTTCATAAGTGTTTTTTCTGGATGAAATTAGCAATTTCCACAAGCATCATTACTTATTGTCGTGGTTTTTTTTCTTCTTGCAGTAACACGTACACATTTATTTTCTGCTGACTGATAACAATCTCAGCGTGCGAAGCTGATCAGGTGATCTTTCCTTCCAAGACGCATCTGAAATGCCAGCGTACATTTGCAAGCAAACATCCCGATACCAGCAACAAACCCCAGTGATGGGGCTGGCACCACCAAGGCGGCTGTGAGAGGAGGTCCAGTGGGTTCCATGCGACCACGAGACCATGGGTCAGACGCAGGCTGGGGAGCAGTTCTAGACACGGCAGTGCGGTCCGCCTTCGGCTCTGTGACCTTCGTGAGGCCCCAAAGGCTCGGACGCAGACCTAGGCTGACACCAAGGCTGAAGCTAAGTTTGTCTCAAGCTAAATTTGGGTGCGCTGCTGCCCTTGACCGTGGACAGGATGTTCCCGGGCTGCACTCCCCGCAGTGGCAGCCTGGCTCAGGCCGGCGGTCTGTGCACCCAGAGGGGACGTGCAGCTACAAGGGTTTCTGACCACAGGTCTGCGCTGACTGGTGCTGTGGCCTTCGAGTGGGACATGCGAGCTCTCTTACACTTTGGTTTTCCCATTTATAAACCGAGCAGCCCCCTCTTCATTCACTGACCTTCTGGGTTTTGTTTTTTTCACTTGTACCAGATTTCCTCCACATACGATGAGGCAGCTTCAAATAAGACGGACTACTTGTGCAGATGCAAAAGTGCACACATTTGGGACTCGTTAAAATAAGACTGAAAATAAAAAAAGAGGCCACCAATAAAGAGGAGAAGCCGTCCAACCAAGACTTTGCCCCTGACATTTTGTGACAGCAGGGACTCCATGCACGTCAGGAGAATGAATGACCCAAGTTCATGTTCACTGGTTTGGGGGTTTACAGGCTGACAGTAATGAAAGTTCAGAAGCTTCTGTGTAGCAGGTGCTGCCTTAAGCATTTTACATACATCATCTCTTTTATTTCCCAAAATGACTCAAAGCCAGAGAGCTATTACTGTTACTCTCATCTTACAAGGAGACCAAGACCCACAAACATTTAGTAACCTGCGCAGGGTCCTGCTGGGGTAGCCCCGGTCCACCCCGCTGGAGCCTCCACCGCAGGCTTCCGCAGCCAGAGCTCCGCCCTGAAACCCTCTCCCGGCTTTTGGGCCCGCCGGCGGCTTCCTCTAGTGCCTCTGGCCGAGTGACTCGAGTCAGCAGCTTGAACGGTGAGGGACAGTGGATGTTGTCAGGGAACGACGAGCAGAGGATGGGGGAGTGACCAGGGGTGACCTTTGCTTACTCTTATGAAGGGGGCTGGGGGAGTGAGGAGGGTGGGGGAGCGAGGACGCTGCTCTCCAGACACTACGGCCCAGCAGAGCCAAGGGGGCTTGGGAAGCGCTCACGTTCCTGCCACCAGCTGGACAAGCTGGGCCCGCCTGGGACAAGGGCTAGGCATTCACCTCTTAGCAAAGTCCTGGGAAATGCTGGTGGCCGGTCCAGTGGTCCGACGCCCACTTTTGAGAGACAGCAGAGGATCGCTGGTGGGCAGCCTGGCCTCCTCTCTTCCTCTCCAGCCCCCTCCCCACACCCTGATGCTGCTCCGAATTCACCCCGTTTCTGTGCTGTGTGCCCTCACACCCCCTTTCACTTTCAGCTCTGACTTTCCTCACAGTGCGGTGGAGCCATGAGCAGGACTGTGGCTGGTCAGGGGGCGTGGCCTGGTGGCATGGGCTTGGGCCACTGTCTGTTCTGTCCGGGCTGCTATGACCAACCCTATCCCCGCCTCCCACCCCCCACCCGCTGTAAGGGTAGAACTGAGATTCCAATCGATTTTAAAATTGGAAAGTTCAGTGACAGCCACAAGGGGTGTGACAGGCGTGGGGGGCCCTTTGCCTTTTTAAGCTCAGCCAGTAGATGTGGGAATGCCCTGAGGCGGCCGGGAGGGAGAAAGCTTGAGCAGTTTGTTGGGAAAACGCAGGGAAGCTCGTCCTTGGTAGTGGAGGTCAGTCAAGGCCAAGGCCGGAGAGACGACCACCTCCTTTGAACCGGAGGGCTGTGGGCTTGAACCAAGGGCTGGAAGGACGGCCCCGCCCTGACTCCTCTGTCTCTGGGGCCCAGCGCTGCCTGGGAGGCTGCGGCCTCGGGGCTCAGGCTGTGGACCAGCCCGTTCCCACGCCCACCAGGACTCTCGTTCTGCTACGGAGCCTGGTAATGAGCTTGCACTTGGTGCCACTCAGAGGGTGTGTGCCCCGTTTGTTACAGTGTGGGCGGCACCGTGTGAGCTAATAAAATAGGCGCCTTTTTGGTACGAGGGCCTCCGAGCATCCTCGGAAACCCTGGGTTTGACGGCCTGGCAGGAGGAGCTTCCCTTCTCCGAGCCTGAAGGAGGGACCGGACAGACGCACCAGCCCCGATGGCCTTGGCCTGCGGGGACCCCGTGGGGGATGCCCCTAAAGAGCCCACCCAAAGCTGTTCCCGCGTCTTCCAGGGGCTGCCAGGAGGGGGCCAAACAGCAACGCTGGCGGTCATGGCTCAGAGGGTGAGACCGGGGTGCTTCTCGGGGGAGCTCTGGCCCAGGGGCCACCCCCGCTGGGGAAGGACGCCACTGGGGAAGCGTGTGCAGCTGGGGCGGAGACTGGAAGCTGTTGCAGTGGGTAAAGGTTTCACTCCCCGAGACAGGCGGCACAGGGTCAGGGTTATGACCTCACTTCCAAATCCCGGCGCCTCCACCTATTAGGAGGCTGACCTGGGTCCAGGGACCCGGGCTCCCTGGGCCTCAGTCTCCCATCTGTACCACGGGGCTCCTGAGAGCAGCGGCTGCCTTGTAGACTCGGTGTGGCCAGCCCCTCCCAGTTAACAGCTGCAGCCTACCCCCCCAGCTGCACACCCCGCCCCCCACCAAACCAGGGCGTTTCTGGCTTGTGGTCAACACTCCATGAGTCTTCACCGGCCTGCTTACCAGTGCACCGCTCACTATTTTTTGACAAGCAGGAACTATCTGTCTGTTTCACCCCTACCATTGCCGTTCACACCTTACAAGTGGCTTTTATAAATGGCTACTTGCCTAAACGATGAGCTTGTGAAATAATAAAGTTGGTTTCCTTTTAAAAAAAAAATAGATGTTACCATGATATGAAAGGTCTCCATAGCAACGAACTGAAAATCCCGAACACGTGACACTTCAAAGGCCATGAGCACGGCCAGGGCCACCCTTTCAAGATCAAAGTTGCGGCCCTTCATAGGCCCCAAAGGGTGCCCAGCTTGCTGGGGCGGGTGGCCAGCGCTCTGGTGCAGGCGGGAAGGAGCCACAATGGTGTGAACAGTGAGAGGGACCAAGGGCCTGGGTCAACAGAGAGAGAAGTTCCAGATATTGACACTGCAAAGCCAGCTCTCCCCGGGCCTGGGACGCTGAAGCTGAGCTGGCCAACCTCGCTTTGGCGCTGGCTGAGCCGCCCCAGGCCCTTCCTCCCACAGACAGGCGTTCTGAGCCTCGCAGCTCCCCGCTGTCAACAACAGAACCACGGTTTCAAATGCCGGGCAGAGGGAGAACGCCGACCCTCCCCTGTCCGGGGCTGCAGGCCTCTTTGCCGTGTTTACCTACATCAGGAGGCACGGAACCGCATTTTCGCTTCCCTAAGCAATTCTAGGAGGCCCGCTGGTCCCCAGCAGGGCTGATTTCTGCACCGGGGTCGGAGGTGGTAGCATTTCCACTTTCTAGATGACAGTTTAAAACACAAGAGAGGACGAGACTGTCCGTGGGTGGCATGTACGCGTGCGAAGAGGATGGAACCAACCTCGGGGACCACAGACCCTTCAGGGGCACAGAGAGGAAGAGAACCACCGAGAGGAACTGCATCGGTTTCCTGTTGCTGCTGCAACGAATGACCACAGTCCTGTGGCTGAAAGCAGCACCAGTTCATCATCTTACGGTTCTGAGATCAGGAGCCCTACACGCGTCTGCGGGGTGCGCCTTCCGGGGGCTCCTGGGAGCATCGGTGTTCTTCACTTTCCTAGCTCCCAGCGGCCACCGACGCCCTCGGGCCCACAGTCCCTTCCTCCACCCTCCAGGGCAGCAGGCGAGCGAGCACCTTCCACGCTCTCTCCCTCCACCCCTCGGATTCCACCGCCACGTCCCCTGTCTGCCTCCGATCCTCTGGCCCCTCTTACAAAGATCTTTGTCACTGTGTCGGGCCCACCTGGACCATCCAGGATAATCTCCCCGTCTCGGGATCCTTCGCTCGATCACACCTACAAAGTCCTTTTTATTGTAGAAGGTAATATTCACAGATTCCAGGGATTAGAACGTGCACACCCTTGAGGCACCATTACCCAGCCAGCCACGGAAACCAAGAAAAATGAGCCAGGTGGGAAGAGCCAGTACGAAGGAGGTGCAATCGACAGAGAGAGATGTCACCGCGAGTGGGGGTGGGGTGGGGTGGTGGTGGTTATTTGCGCGGTTGCACAGATTCCAGGCTGCAAGGACAAAAACGTGCTTCTCCAACAGAGCGATCCCAAGTCACCCTCCTAACCCAGGACCACACTTAGCATCTGTGAAAGCGGGACACCAGACACGGGCGTTCTTGTTGTGATGCTCAGTGTCATACCCAGCGTCCCCATGAAGTAATGTGGCAAAAGCCTTGAGCTGGATCCAACCAAGCCATCAGAGCTAATTCCACTTTGCAGGAAGTACAGGAGACAGGGGACAAAACAAATGACACCGCAAGGAAGTAACAGACAAACCTGGAATGTGGGGCCGCTACAAAGCAAATGACCCGGTCTCTTCCACAGGTCAATGTTGTGAGAAACTAGGGAGGCCAGGAGAGGGGCTGGGACTGAGAGATGTAAGAGACACAGAAAACAAAGTAAATGCATGATCCGTATTGAATCCTGACTGGGAAGAGAGCAATGAAAAGACAATGTGGGGACTATTGGGAAAATTTGCATTGGGACTAAATATTTTTTTAAATCAGGGAATGATAGTTTGGTTAGGTGAGCTAAAGGTATTCTGTGGCTATGTAGGACATAACATTTTGACTTTTTTCTTGTTTATTTATTTTTATACTGGAAGATACTTGAACTTATGTTTGAACTCAGGGAAGGAACCAGAGAAAGGAAAAGGGTGGAGACATGGAGAGACAATGGATATAGGACAAGAGAAGGAAAGAAAAGGAAAGAAAAGGAAGGAAGGAAGGAAGAAAAGAAGAAAGGAAGGAAGGAAGGAAGGGAGGGAAGGAGGGAGGGAAGGAGGGAGGGAAGGAGGGAGGGAGGGAGGGAAGAAGGGAAGGAAGGAGGGAAGGAAGGAAGGGAGGGAGGGAGGGAGGGAGGAAGGGAGGGAAGGAAGGGAGGGAGGAAGGGAGGGAAGGAATAGAGGGAAGGGAGGGAGGGAAGGAAGGAGGGAAGGGAGGGAGGGAGGGAAGGGGGCAAGAAAGAAAGGATGGAGAAGGGAACCCTGCACACGGGTAAGACTGCAATGAGTCAGTGGTCCCCAAATCTGCTGCTAGTGCCACCAGGGAAACGAAACCCAAACTCCCAGGTGCCCCCTCCAGAGACGCTGCCTAGCAGGCATGGCTGAGACCTGGGAACCTACAGGTCCCCAAAGCTCCCCAGGACACTCGGTCATGGGCCAGGTGGGGGGCCTTGAAGGGGGATGGGCTTCCAAAGACACTCTGCAGGGGAGGAAATTTGTTCCGAGCGGGTCCAGGCAGCAACACCAGGACTGGGGGAGAAGCTCCAGGAGGCCGAGGTGGCTCAGGGTGAACGTGACCACAGGGAGGCGGGTGCCAGGGCTGGGCTGGAGGGACAGGGCCCCACCCTGGGCACGGCCCAGTGAGGCGAGAACACCACCACAGGCTGACACATGCCCAGGAGTCGCCTCTGACGCCAGCACCCCCGCTGTGGGGCACAGATGCGCTGTTGGGCCTCCTCGGGCCCCCGTTTCCGGGTGGAAAAATCCAGCACAGTGGGGGTGGTAGGTAAGCTCTCCTTTTCTTTTCCTTTTCTTTCTGTCTTTCTTTCTTTTTCCCCCTCTTTCCTTGTTTCCTTTCAACTTCCTGGCAGGAAAACGCTTTATCCGAAAGAAACGTTGCACGCTTCCACACAGGGTCTTCCTGTTCCTCCCCCTGCAGCAGCCTCCGCCCTGCTGCCTCCAGTCCCCCAGGAGAACCAGGTGAAACGCCTAGGCTCGACTCTCTGAGATTCCATCAAGCACTCGCATGCTGGCAGTTCTGAAATGATGAGGAGCGAAAGAATGTCCTCGGGCAGGTCCAAGAAGCTTCCAGCCTGGAGAGCTGGGAAGAGCACCCAGACGAGAGACGTCGCTAGCAACGGCTGCCTCCGAAGCTGGACTCGGAGTCTGCCGCAAGCGTTTGACTTGACGTACTTATATTCCCTTGTCCTCACGTAACCCTCACAGTCCGTAGTCCAGATCATTAGTCAAACTCGCTGCCTTGCTGATGCAATGATTCCCTGTGATGGGGATCTAGCAATTTGCAGGGCCCGGCACTGTCAAGCCTATAGTTAACAAGACGCCCACCCAGGGCTAGGATTTGCCGTGGGGAAAGCAAGAGCGGGTGGCCACCTGCTTCTGTGTCCCACCCCCGCCACCCCCGCCGTGGGGACACGCCCTCTAGATGTCTGGTTTATTTTCCATTCAGATGTTGTCTTCTAGACCATAGTTATCTGAAACAGGACAAGTAAAACAGCATCTGGAGCTGTTGCCAGGGCAACCTGACAAAAGACTCCACCCTCGGCTCCTGTACTTGTAATTTGTCAAAGGCAGCCCAAGAGGGAGGAAAGAGAAGGGCGTCGGTTGTGACTTCAGTTGTGACTTCGGTCTTAGAAAGGAAAGTCGGGAGACTGCTTTCTGGTGGCATCAGCTCATGCAGAACAGAAAAGCAGCTGTGACCCGTGCCATGGAAATTCAGAAAAGTCAGCAGGGGAATGCTAAGGGGGGAACCCTTAAACGTTTTGTTGTGGGGGTGATCTCTGTAAAAGAGCTGCCTATCAGAGCTGTTAACGCCAAGCTGCCTGCAGACCGAGCTGAAAATACGCCCTGAAGGGGAGCTAAGGGGAAGGGCGAGAAATCGCGGAAGTTCTCGACTCTGCAGCACTCGGTACTTGAGTAGGTAGGGACGGCCGTGTGACGCCGGGAGTCCTGGGCACATCTGATGGCTCAGCCCCCTCAAACCCTCACCTCCCGGCAGCAGTCACGGCTTCGAGACCGGCATTCTAGAGCCTGGACAGTTCGCTCCGCCCGTGGAACCCACGAGAGGACTGAGGCCCGTGCAAGATACCGCACTCCTGCTCACCTGGCCAGGTTCGGGCAGAGCTAAGTCAGGAGCCTGCATTGCCACTTCCCGGTGATCTTTGCACTTACTGGCACCTCTGGCCTGCGGATGGCAGTGTATTCCAGTTCTGCACGGGGCACGACCCCGGTTAGGTTTCAAAGCAGGCCCCGTGGAGCAAGGGGCCGGGCCATGAGGGCACCAGGCGCCCCCTTCCATCCCTTCCCACCTGTTTTTCTCTCTCTTAGGGCCCCACTTAAAATTATTTAAGGGGAAAATATGCTGCTAAAAACAGTTCGAAGATCGTCAGTCTAAAGATAAATATTGATTACCTTGGATAACAGTGGTGGTTGTGAATATAGGAGAACCCTGAATCATGCGCTTTAATATGGTGAAATTTATTTTTAAAATGTATTTTACCTATGATATAGTTATATAAATTATAATATAGGAATCAAATATTTACATTCAAATAAAAACTACATGCACCCTTAGTCACACTAAAGGGGGCACTAGGACAAGCGCTGAGTTGCACTCAGGGTCGGAAACCAAACAGGAATGGATCCGAACGCTGGCCCAGAGGCCCCGCCCCTGGCCCCCCGGCCCTCGCGCGGCTGCTCACCGAGTTGGTGCCGAGGATCTGCAGGTTGGGCTTCTCCGACTCCAGCAGCTTGGCCACCATCTTGAGGAAGCTCTCCACGAACAGGTTGATGCTCTGGCAGTGGCAGGCCATGAGCAGCTGGTCCAGCGCCTCCATGGCGATGCACACGGACCTGGGGAGACAGCACCCACGTGTCACTCAGCCGCGCTCGTGCCACGTGACGGGGCAGTGACTTCCAGGCAGCGTCCGGGAAAGGGGGCCTGTCTACGAGCTGTCGATGGCCAGATGCCATTCTGTCGAGCGCAGCCCAGCATGGAGGACCGGAGCTGGCAGAGCACCTCATGGCCAGCTCCTCCGGCCCCGCACTTCACCGCTGACGACCGTGAGAACAGACGAAGGTCCCATTTCATGAGGAAATACAAGCACAAGGACTGGTGCCCAGAAGAGCAAACTCTGTCCCCAAAGCCAGTGAGACAGGAGTCACTTGGCCCCGGTCAAGAAGTGGGTGTTGAGCACGCACTGAGGAAAAGCTCTGACCTAGGCAGTGCCGGGGGTGTGAGGACGAAGAAGTCCTGCAAGTTAAAGAGCCTAGAGGCTGGTGATGAGGTAAGCACAGAGCTACCTCCTCCACAGGGAAAATAAGAAATGCTGCGAGAACATCAGTATGGCATCCCACGGGGGCTCCAGAGCAGGGAACAGATTGGTCAGGGTGGGAGGCAGTGGAGAACTTCGTGAGCAGAGTGTATGAAGAATCTGTGATGGGCCTGAACCAGCCAACTGCAAAGGTTAAGCAACATAAAGTTTGCAGGTTTTGTATTTGGAGATCTCAGAAGTTCTACGACGATCAACGCCAACAATATGGTTGATGGCATTACCATGTTTGGGTGATCCTGACCTTACCTAGGGAGCATCTTTATCTCGGGGAGGATAAGAGAGACATAGAATTCAAGTGCTTGTCACCCTAAAGGAAGGTGGTCTGTGTCAATGCTAACCCCCTAGCTAATCGATTCTTCTAATGTCTAAAACCTGAGTGAATACCTTCAGCGCTAGGAATGTGCAACAGCCGACAGTGAATAGCTTACCAGTTAAGTCAGCCCATCCTGCTTTTTGACAACCAAATTAAACCCTCTTTAGTCCTGGCTGGTGTGGCTCAGTAGGCTGGAACATCATTCTGTAAATCGAAAGGTTGTGAGTTTGATTCCCGGTCACGGTGTGAGTCCCGGTGAGGTTGCGGGTTTGTTCCCCAATAGGGCGCGTACAAGAAGCAATGGATCGATGTTTCTCTCTCACATCAACATTTCTCTCTCTCTCTCTCTTCCTCCCTTCCCTGCTCTCCAAAGTCAATAATCATGCTCAAAAAAATCCCCCCTTCTTTATTATTTCAAGCAAATCCTAACAGCTTCTATACCCATTCATCACAATTCGACTTTCAGGAGCAGCGAGAAAGAGGGCTGCACCTCCTCCTACCTGCCAGCCCTTCGGCCACTTGAAACAAACAGTCTCATTCTTCTTGTTCTTCTGTTCTCCGTGCTGAACGCACCAGTCCTTCCCAATCCAGCCTTCACGGGACAACCTCCAGTTACCCCGGTGGTCGTTGTCTTCCTCAATGCCGCTCTTGCATCCCAAGAAAACATGCCAGGAATCCAACACCCACTGAGAGCCAGGAGGGCACGTGGAAGCTCACCCCAACATTCGCCCCATGAGAGTGGCGAAGCGGGTGCCTGCTCAGGGGAGGAAGTGGGTGAAAGACACTCCCCGGCTTCCAAAGGGTTTGCATTGCGGAGAAAACGAGGTAGACATTCATCTTTGTAAGGAGGCTAGCTTTTAACTTCTAATGAAGAGGCTGCTGCAAGTGCGCCAGAAATTATTTTGGTTTCAAGCTTTATAATTTTCTTTATGAAGTTAGGTTTCTAGGGCGGAATGCTAGAGGTCACCCCTGGAATCCCTTTCCCCTCCTTCCCATAGTCATCTAGAGTTTTAGCTGAGTTTGCGGCTGCTCACGAGGGGCCTTTCCCAGTCTCTCTCGCTGCTGGGCGAGGCCACCGGACCGACACGCTGCCACGGAAGTGAGGGGGAGTGGGTGGACCAGTGTCAGCATCACTTGCTAAAAAGACAGGATTGTCCTCCATGTCCTCACTGTCCCTCCTCCTGCCGGTTGCGAAGTAGTGACAACTGGACACCCAGAGATGAAAGCCCCCGGATGGCCTCATGGTGCGGAGCCCACAGACCCAGCGTGGACTATTACATGAGGGAGAGAAAAACCACTTGCGTATTGCTGGAGCCGCGGTGTTTCTGAGTCTCTTTATGCCCTGAATCTCACGAGTACCTGACCATCGGGTCAGGAGCTGGATGGTGCGCACAGAGGTGAGTCCTGAGCAATCCGCAGCAAACCAAGTGACCGACGTCATAGGGAAGAGAAGAGGTGAGAGTTGAAACGATTCTCTCCTGCCAGAGCGGAGCGCTCCACAAGCCTTCATGGACTCAGGGTGTGGGCTTGGGTGCCCATCACAGGGGGGTGAGCTCCTACCTGTCGAGCCAAACCATGTGGCAAAGAGAAGTACTTCCCCATACAGAGAAAACGCAGAGGAGGCCAAGTGAACGGAGAACTCCCAAACCTAACTGAGGTGCGAAGGGTCTGGTTAATACCCCTAAGTCAAAAACAAGTAGCAAAAGACCCCTCTTACGATTATGGTAGAGCGCTCACCACAGGCTTTTAAGGCGTTAAAGCCACCCGTCACTTTAGAGTCAGGTCCAGATGCTGTATGTATTCGAAAGGCTGGACTCAAAGATTTGTTCTTTCTGTTGCAGTCCAAATCAAATCCACCTGCGAACGTCAGGCAACTATTGAAAAATCCCTGATTGGCTAGTCTTTGTCTTCTTAAAGTGTTTTTTTCCTTTATTAATTCTCAAGAGAGGGGAAGGGAGGGAGAAAGAGAGGCAGACAAACATCGATCAGTCGCCTCTTGCACGTGCCCGAATGGGGACCAAACCTGCAACCCAGGCATGTGCCCTGACTGGGAATCAAACTGGCGACCTTTCCATTTGCAAAATGACCTCCAACCAACTGAGCCACACCAGTCAGGGCTGTCTCCTGTGTTATTTCTATTATTTTTTATTTTTTTGGTCAAATTACTTTTTAAATTAAATTTAAATAGTTGGTATATAATCTTATATTGGTTATGTTAGTTTCAAGTGTATAATGCAGTAATTCGACATTTTAAAAATATTTTATTAGTAGTAAATATTCAATATTATTATTCAAGTGTATAATGCAATAATTCAACATTTTTAAAATATTTTATTATTTTTAGAGAGAGGGGAAGGGAGGGAGAAAGAAAGGGATGGAAACATCAATGTGTGGTTGCTTCTGATGTGCCCCCCACTGGGGACCTGGCCCACAACCCAGGTATGTGCCCTAGACTGGGAATTGAACCAGCAACCCTCTGATTCGCAGGCCTGCACTCAATCCACTGAGCTACACCAGCCAGGGTACATTTTTACATTTTATAGTATGATTGATCACCCAACTAATTTGAGTAATCACCTGTCACTGTGTAAACTTATCACAATATTATTGACTATATTTCCCTTCCCCGTTTTACCCATACTCCCACCCCCTCTCTTCTGGTAACCATCTTTTGTCTCTATTTTTATTTTGTTCATTTGTTTTGTTTCGTTTTGTTTTTGATTCCACATATAAGTGAAACCATATGGTATTTGTCTTTTTATGCCTGACTTATTTCACTCAGCATATAGCATAATATCCTCTAGATCCATCCTTGTTGTCACAAATGGCAAGATTTCATTTTTTATTGCTGCATAATATTCCTGTGTGTGCGTGTGCTACACATCTTCTTTATCCGCGCATCTATCCATGGACAAGTAGATTGGTTCTATATCTTGGCTGTTGTAAATAATGCTGCAATGAACAAAGGGAGGTGCATGTATGTTTTCAAATTATTTGGATAAATACCCAGTAGTGGAATTGCTGGGTCATATGGTATATCTATTTTTAGTTATTTGCGGAATCTCCATACTGTTTTCCATAGGGGCTGCACCAGTTTGCAGTCCCACCAACAGTTCATGAGGGTTCCCTTTTCTCCACATTTTCGCCAACACATTATTTGTTGGCCTTTTGATAACAGCCATTCTGTTGTGAGGTGGTATTTCATTGTGGTTTTGATTTGCATTTTCCTGATGATTAGTGATGCTGAGCATCTTTTCATATGTGTGTTGGCCATCATATGTCTTCCTTGGAGAACTGTCTTGTCATGTCCTCTGCCCATTTTTTTTAATTGAATTATTTGTTTTTTGTTATTGAGTCATATGAGTTTCTTATATATATTTTAGATATCAACCCCTTATCATAATATATCATTTGCAAATATATCCTGTCATTCAGTAGGTTGCCTTTTTGTTTTGTTGAAGGTTTCGTTTGCTGTGCAGGTTTTTAGTTTGATATAGTCCCAATTATTTATTTTTTCTTTTGTTTCCCTTACTCAAGGAGATACTAACAAAAATATATTACTCAGACTGATGTCAGATAGTTTACTTCCTATTTTCTTCTAGGAGTTTTATGGTTTCAGGGCCTACAATGAAGTCTTTAAGGCATTTCGAGTTTACTTTTGTGGATGGGTTATGAGAGTGGTCCAGTTTTTCCAACACCACTTGTTGAAGAGAACTTCATTACTCCAGTGTATAGTTTTACTTCCTTTATCATAAATTAGTTGACCATAAAAGCAAGGGTTTTTTCTGAGTTGTGTTCTAGTCCATTGATCTATGTGTCTGTTTTGGGCCAGTACCATACTGTTTTGATTACTATAGCTTTGTAGTATAGCTTGAGACCAAGGAGCATGATACCTCCAACTTTGTTCTTCTTTCTCAAGATTGCCTTGGCTATTCGGGGTCTTCTGTGGTTCCATATAAATCTTAGGATATCTGTTCTAGCTCTGAGAAGAATGTCACCGGTATTTTGATAGGAATGGCACTGCCCACCACATGAGGCTCCACAATAACTCAGTGTCATTTATCATGTGTCAAAACTGTCTTGCACGTGAGTCAGCTTTGCAAGTCCTAGCATATAAAGTAACCAGCAGTCATGGCATCTTCTAAATTCTTATTCCGAGACACAGAAACCATCTCTTAGGTAACCTTGAGCTAACTTCTACATGG